ATATTATAGGTAGTGTGCTATTCGTAAACACTCTTGCAGGACAACTGCATTAATTAATTAATTAAACCCTCCTACCGTAGATGCAAACATACATTCTGTGCCAAGTTGTCCGTTTAGTCAAAATCAATCAAGTGACTGTTTTCAACAGTTAAGAGCTCCCAGCCTACACAATGCAGGATTGACTGGCTGTGACTGTTTATGTAACTTGCTACAGCTATGCTTTGACTGTAGGTGATCGATAAGCCAGCTGTGCCTACCACTTGCCTGCTTTTGTCTGTGGACTGAATTTGACTAGTCAGAGTGCTTGCTTGAAATATGATCTGACTGTTGGTGACTAGCCTGTATAAAAGGCATGGCAGGGGAAGTGGATGGAAATATTGACTGTCTGTGACTGTTCAAACAGTAGGAGATAGCATCAGAATTACAAAGTCAAAGATGTCAGATGTAACAGGGACAGGAAAAATATAAGTGGACCTCAAATTTATAGAGTGCCCCATATCCAACTTTTTCACATTCTGAAAATGTATAAATTCATCAGTTATTACTCAGAATACATTTGTACATTTACATGTAGTTGAAGAGGTGGGGGCCTTCCCCGAAATAATTTTTTTCTTCAGACTTATTTAAATTGATATTTTACTGTAACCAGAGTGGGGATTATTATCATTTTGTAATCCTCAATCTAAACTTTATTACCGTTAATTAAACTCCATTTCCTTAGTTTCCCTGACCGTATTTTGCAAAGTTATTTTAGGAATGAACAGCCGTTAGCAACCGTGCATAAAGCTTAACCAAACTTTCTTAGTCATTCTGACGAAAATAGCCTTTTCAATAAAAGTACATGTTGTTCAAGTGAACTTGTGTATTCAAAAGAATGGAAGTTCGGTTATCTGAACTCTGAACAGTTCAGATGTCAAAATATTTACAAAAAAAAGAAGAAGACATTAAAATAATATTTATTTTTTGTGAGTTCAGACGCACTGTTAACCCAGGGAAAGCAATGGGTTTTTTTTAGTTGGGAGGAAGTTGAAATTAATATGACAACAGAAAGTAGCATAGAAAATAGTTACATAGCATGCTTTAAAGAGGTTGTAGAATGCTCGAAGACATTTCCGTCATTCTTCGGGTATATGTAGCCTAAGGTGTGATGAAATAAAAACGACTATTGTTTCTGTCATAAAATGAGTACAAAAGGTACTTTTGAGAGCTGTTTTTCAAGTCCTGTCATGCCTGTTTCGACCCGAGCGTGCAATTTGTGTAGAAGTCGTCGTTGCGGGCAGCAAACAAAACATAGTACATTGTAAATCGTGACGTAATAAACAGGACTCCCAATGCAGAGTAGCATAAACGAGTCCTGTTTATTACGTCACGATTTACTGTGTTTTGTTTGCTGCCCGCAACGACGACTTTTACACAAATTGCACGTTCGGGTCGAAACAGGACCTGAAAAATAGCTCTCAAAAGTATCCTTTGTACTCATTTCATGACAGAAACAAAAGTCGTTTTTATTTCATCACACCTTAGGCTACATATACCCAAAAAATGACGGAAATGTTTTCGAGCATTCCACAACCTCTTTAACACTAACCACCCTGAATTCAGCAAAATCAATACCCCTGTTTTGGAGAATTTCGGCGGATTCAGGATACCTCCATATTGAAAAAAGTTGGGGGGATTTTGATGGATTCAAGACAGTAAGCCAAGCAGTACTGCCGGATTAACAGCTCAACTTTTTGGAGTCGCAAAAGTGGACCCTAAAGGTTGGTCTCGCATGCATAATACAGGAATAACACAAAAACGCCCAGTTTTTAAAGGATAGTTGTGTGGATGTTTATCCTACTTTTATATATTCTTCCCGATGAACATCATTTCATTCAAAGTGCGTTTTGTAGCCCAATTGGGCTGTTCAAGGACGCAGTGTCCCTTTAATTATGGCCAGCTTTGCCAGGGCCAGGGTCTATTACATGTACATCATAGACTACTTGCCCCCCCCCCTAAACCTTTGGTTTTGGATCCGCCCTTGGATTTAGGCATTTAAAGGGAATGTACAACATTTGCTTTTGCTGCAATTTTCATAAATAAATGTATTTGGAGGATTAGTATGTTAGACCAAAAAATAAAAATACTCGGTCTCTGGTCAGCGCGCTTATCGATTTTAATCATGCGCGTCAACCTTTTTTTTCTTCAAATTAACACGGAAGCTACAACAGCCCCCTCTATTCCCGCCCCTCCTCAAATTTTTGTACCAAGGAGCACCAAGGAATGGGGAAATTGCACCAAGGCAAATTATGGAGGACACCAATGTATAATGAGGACACAAAAAAGCAAAATAGTACCCACCTTGTCTGTACAATACAAGCTTGAACAACAAAAAAGCCACCAAAACAAAAGCTATACATGTACATTTACATGTAAATAATATCAATCAATTTAGCTGTGTGTGCTGCACTTCTTTATACCGATATCTTTGAAATCTTTGGAAAGTCCTTTTTTATGGCGATTTACATAATTTGTGTATGCTGGAAGTATAAATAAATTTGCAAACTAGAGCTTAAACTCTTGGTTTCATTTTAGGTGCCGAGCTTCAGTTTCATTTTTAAAGATGTTATTTGAAAGCTGTTAAAACTAAGCCAGCAGAGTGAATAGTGAAACGAACAAATGTTCATTAAACGGGATAATTGATTTATTTCTAGGCCGTTGGAGGTTCTCTGAACGTGAGTTGCCGGGATGAAACAGAAATAAATCAATGAAACGCATTCAATTTCTAATTGTGTAAAAGAAATCGTGTATGTAACACATTTGACCATCTGTGTCTAAATATCATTTTCATAAATTCATAACACCACTTTTATTGTACAGCTTTTTTCCCCCTTAAGCAATAAGGAAATCAATAAATCCTGAAAAATGAATAAATTATCCAAAACAAATGCAGGGAAAGCAGGGTTAGACTTTCAAATTTCTCTGTTTACCAGAGACATTTACTACCGTACTACACTCGACCAAAAAAGAAAGTCCCCCTTAATAATTTTTGACTAACTCAAAAACTACTGGGCACATCTTGCTCAAATTATGACTGATCAGTGCAGAAATTCCTTAGCAATCCAGCCATACTCTTTGTTTGGCCCAAAACAGTGATAATGTGTACGAAATTATGCAATGTATGACATGCTACTGGTAAAAAAGTTGCACTTTTGTATACACGCAAGGTGTGAACCACAACTTTTACGCCTATAAACGGGTAAAAGCCAGCTAGACAGGTTCCTTTCCTTACAATTGCCCGATGTCTGTAAATTGCTCTGTTTCATCTGAAGTGGGGTCAAGGAACCAGACTCTACAAAAACACGATTGTTTTTCTTGGTTTTTCCAGAATCTTCAAACTCAAAACTTCAAACATGTCAATGTAACAATATTTGCTACATGTACATGTACATGTATGCCTACATGTACATATACTAACCCCCCAATCCATCCTTGTCTGAAAAATACAGCAAAAGCAAATGTTTGTATTTCCTTTGACATTGGAAGTTGTACACTTCCAGGTATCGACAAATTTTCCAAAGCAGACGATCGTTGCTCGGTTGAATAAATACGTGCAGTTTCCTCCTCCGCACAAACGCATTGCCTCCATCCATTGTTGTGGAACAACACAACGTTGGAATTTCCATCAAAATTATGACAAATGTTATTTATTGGGTATTGTGCAGAGCTGGCCAGTAGTGTAGCATACATGTACGTGTGCATGATGTTCAGATACATGTTATTGAATGCGCAATGGAATTTTGGCAAGTTCAGGTTTTTTATACTTCCTTATTTCCTGGACAATTGAAAGCTACATGTAACACTACACACATACATGACACACAGCACACCCTAGTAAAAAATAGTTCAGTTTTCTTACCCTAAATTTGCCAATATACATGCACATGTGCATGTATCGTGATTTGTTGAATAATTAAAATAAGATCTTAGACCATGTAAAAATAAACCAGTTTCTCATACACGCCAACTTCCTTTTTACCCGCCCCCTCCTTTTTTTGTTTTTAAAGGTAAAGTCCATCATTTGTAATTTGTGCATTTTGTTCGTTTGAAGCAACAAAAGTGCTCAAAATCTAAAGATGGGTGCTGAACAACTAACCTGATGAACTTTCAGCTCAGCTTCAGCTGTATTCCGAGAAAAAACAGCATTCTAGGATCTCAATTTCAAATCAAAAGTTGCTGAATCATGTTTTGAATTGGGCCTGAATTCAGCGTCCGAGACACGTTCTCACTGAGCCGATTGTAGCTACGCGATGTCGCGCACTGATCCGACGAATTATAGCAACCGCGCGCGCGTGTGCGTCGTGCAAATGCTGGGGCGCGCTTCACCGAATAACGAAACGAACTACTAACTTGAATTTCCTACGGTGCATCTTAAGAAGCACCGTTTAAGAAGCACAGACAGTCAAAATCCACTTCCACCTCCCCTGCTATACTTTTAACAAAGGCTAGTCACCAGGGCCCAATTTCACGGTGCTGCTTAACAGTTAGCACAAAAGTTGTGTTCAGCATCTAGCAGAAAAAATTTGCTAACCTGAAGCACTATTTTACGGCGTGTGTGTGCTAACGGTCGCGCGTGCATTGAAATTTCTATTGTTACGTCACTGAGTTAAGCAAATTTTTCCTCTGAAGTAAGCGTGCCTTTTGCTGTGCTTATGCTTATGGTCTCCATGAAATAGACGGAGGCTCTGTTAGCAAAAATCGTGTGCTAAGCAGCGCCGTAAAATTGGGCCCAGCAGTCAGATCATATGTCACTTGACTGATTTTGACTGAAAGGACTACTTGGCACAGAACGTATGTTTGCATAGGAGGGTTAATGAATTTAATTATTATCAAAAACAATTTCCAATTTGGCAAACTTTTCTGTTTACCAAATTAACCCATCATGTGCGTACAAGCATGCTGTAATAAAATGTTGACGCTGCTAAAATTGAAAAAATTTCATTCTGTTTTGATTTCTTCAGACGTACCATTGGCAGAGCAACACCAAGAAGCAGAGCGGGGTGGAGGACATGGTCTTACTGACCAAGATACAGGAATCCTCCATCGTTGAAAACCTCAAGAAACGTTTCATGGACGACTGGATTTATGTATCCTTTCATTTTTTTTTTTATAAAAGTCGCTGAATACAAGGCTGATACCCACTTGGTGTAAAATCTATTAAAGATATAGTCCATCATTTGTAATTTGTGCATTTTGTTCATTTGAAGCAACAAAAGTGTTCAAAATCTAATGAAGGGTACTGAACAACTATTAAGTTTCAGCTCGGCTTCAGCTGTATATTCCGAGAAAAATAGCATTCTAGGATCTCAATTTCAAATCAAAAGTTGCTGAATCATGTTTTGAATTGTGCCTGAATTCAGCGTCCGAGGCACGTTCTCGCTGAGCCGATTGCAGCAACGCGATGTCGCGCACTGATCCGATGAATTACAGCAACCGGGGGTGCGTGTGCGTCGTGCCAATGCTTGCGCGCGCTTCGCTGAATAACAAAACGAACTACTAATTCAAATGTTCCTACGGTGCGTCTTAAGAAGCACCGTTGGAAAAGCCTTCTTTCGTTGATTACTTCAAAATGACAGCTTGCCAGAAAGAATAATTTCACAGGGAGTTTAGTCCTCTTACTATCTCTCAACCAAGTATGTTTTTCAACAAGAATTACGCCAGCTACTTTTCGGATAGCTGCAAATGATGGACTATAGCTTTAACCAGTTTGCGTCAAAGGCCGTGTTAACACGCACTGGCTGTTTTTATACACAGGCATGGCTGACGGGTTAAAACGTCAAGATTGCCTCGACTCGCCTCAGAGTGCCGTTCAAACACGTTAGCCCCTCGTGCCTTTTATACACACCCACACAAAATCTACGAAGTCTGTGGAGGCGGACTGTGTGTTGATCTTGAATTGGCCGTAGTGCACGGCCTATTGTTGTACAATTTATGCTCCAGTGTACCCTCTGGAGTATTGAAACAGACATGTATGAGGTCTCGGCAAGAAATATCATACAAATACTGTTGAAATGACTCTTGAGAATCAGTATTTGTGGCGTTTGGCTGTATATCAGAAGTTGGCTGGAAAATTTTGCCTTTTGCCAAAATCAAAATTTTAGGCAAAAATAATCCTGGTGTGAAGTGGTTAAGAAAAGTGAAGGAGATAAATTTATAAAGCGTATTTATCTATGAGTGTTGGTGTTCAAGGCACTACATCATTATTACCCTGCTCATTAGGCCAATGAAACACTCCAAAGACAATCTCAGCTCCCTGGGGAGTATACAGCTCAATGCTACGGCGCAAAGCGGCTAAAATTAACCACAATAACCATCTCTGCCCTCACAGGTACCAATTTACTCCTGGGTGGAGAGAAGCATGACAAAGTGCCTTGCCCAAGGGCACACAAACCACAGCTGCCAAGACAGGACTGCGCCAGTAAACATTTAGCACAACTCGGTGACTGTTTTATGTATTTATTCAGCGCACAGTAAATAGTCGTCTGATAATCAACAAAGAGGCGTCAATACGCATGGCCACGGCGCACTTATGTTTCAGCCCCATAGACCATGCGTGCATTTAGTTCGTCTTCTCAGGCATGCGCAATGGTTTCCTCTGCGTCGTTTCCATACATTTCCAACGCGTCGAAAGATTTCAAACGGAGCACCGCGGCGCGTGGCCCGTGGCTAGCCATGTTTACGGGCCAGATTCCAGGGTCTGTGTACAGGTACGTGCACACTAACGTTACATTCAACGAAAAAAAACGTATAACGTGAGACCTTACTTCTCTCATTGAAACGGTTTCCGACTTAAATGATATTTATGCATCGCACTTTCCGTGGCATCCTTTTCCATTTTTCAGTGAAGACAAGTTTACAATTACTCGGCAAAACTGAAAAATTATCCCCTAAACTGTCGCCTGTTTTGAATTTGTGACCCAATACTTTCGTACTACACGACACGGAAAAACAAAAAAAAATGCATCAAATACTCTCTGTTTTTTGCGCTAAGGTTTGCAAAAGTGACTTTGATTGCCTTAAATTCCTGTCCACGTGGAAAGAAAACTTTATCAAAGTACTTGGAGCGTGATGTTGACTGATACTTCAGTGGGTCAAACTGCGACTGCAGGCATCCATGTTTGCTGATTATCAGTATTTTATATTTTGAGTGCGCATGCGCGCAGACTAAATGGGCGGCTGAAACATACGTGGGCGGGGCTCGAACCCACAATCTCACGATCATGAATCCTGTGCTCCACCGCTAAACCACACGGGCCCCTACTCACTCTTAAAATGTGCGGAGAGTCTATTTTAAATAACTTTTCCTGAACCGTATACAATCGTCCAGACGTACATCGGCCCCGTACTAATCTCCATCAACCCCTTTAAGCAGATGCCATACTTCACTGACAAGGAGCTGGACATGTATCAGGGAGCGGTAAACAAGCAAACATTTTGTTGTTTTCTTCAGTCAACGTTTGGGCTTCGCTCGTACCCCCCGCCCTGCAAACAGTACGCTGGGATACTCTGATGAGCTTCACAGAATCTTGTGAAGGAAGTGGCCTATGACCTATGTATAAAGCATCTGGCTGCAGCTGTTCAAGACCGTAGTTAGACAATGTGCCAAAACGCTATCCGAAAACTTCCCATAGAATTGCGCACATTCTATACCGGATGTGATTTCTGTTTCATTGCGGACCATGTGGACAAAATTTTGAGCGTCGCATAATGCAATCCGACCGTTCGTGATTCGAAACAGAGCCTGAGCGAGTGACGGGAATTGTAAATTTACAACACAGATAAGTTTTACAGAATTTCCTACATTATTACGCTTTTCAACGAGAAAAAAACATCTCTAAACTGGAATACAAGAGTAATGAATCAGTCTTAACGGCCGTTTCAAACCTTGCAGAGTCATGACCTTGATGACGCGCAGGTCACTTGTGACATAAAATCCAACCAATCAGAGCATGAATTCATCAGAGTATCCCAGCGTCCTGTTTGCAGGGCGGGGGGTACGAGCGAACGTTTGGGCTAGGGTTAACATGGTTAAAAAAGAAAGTGAATTGGGAAAACCCCAGAAATCCTGCCATATCCGATTGCAAACAGAAAGTAGGCATTAGTTACACGTAACAACAGTAGTTCAAGGAAACAAAATAGCAACTGTGATTTGTATTTGCGGCCAGACTTTCCAAGTTCTCAACACGAAACCTAGATCCAATCCGATTATATTCTTCCTGTTATCATGCTCAAATTACATGTACAAAGCTTAAAGGGGCATCAAGGCCTGATTCCCCGAAAATCTTATGTTTTGGATTGTTTACTTATCCTATTTTAAAGGTCTGATTGAAAGGAAATTAACCTAATGTCTTACCGTTCTTGAGAAAAGACCAAAATAACTGGTTTACATCGGACACGGTGGACATTTTGTGGCATACGTATTTCGAGCTGTGTTGTGTGTTTGTCACATACAGTGTAATACACACAGCACTAATACACAAATGTTGTTGCTCGCACGTCTGCAGAATGCAAACCAGTGTGCGGCAGGATGCACCAGAGTTGTAATGACTTGAGTCAATGACTCGACTCGAGTCCGATTCGAGTCACAATTTTTGGTGACTCGACTCGACTGGGTAACTGACTTGACTCGACTCTAGACACTACAAGCATATGACCTCAAGTGACTCGACTCGACTCGACCTTTTTGACCTAATGACTCGACTCGACTCGACCTTTTTGACCTAATGACTCGACTCAACTCGACCTTTTTGACCTAATGACTCGACTCGACTCGACCTTTTTGACCTAATGACTCGACTCGACCTTCTTGACCTAATGACTCGACTCGACCTTCTTGACCTAATGACTCGACTCGACTCGACTCGACTCGTGTCACTTCTTTCAAATGACTCGACTCGACTCGAGTCACTGCTTTAAAATGACTCGACTGGACTTGAGTCACAAAAATCAGTGACTTGTTGCAACTCTGGGATTCACAACTACATGTAGCACTCAGCAGCTACGAGCAAATGACCTTGTCTCCACTCGACTCGACCTTCTTGACCTAATGACTCGACTCGACTCGTGTCGCTTCTTTAAAATGACTCGACTCGACTTGAGTCACTGCTTTAAAATGACTCGACTCGACTTGAGTCACAAAAATCAGTGACTTGTTACAACTCTGGGATTCACAACTAGCACTCAGCAGCTCGATTTTTGAGAGTCAAAATTTTGACCCCCAAAATTTGTTCTCGACTGGTTCTCTCAGGAATATAAATACAAAAACGCCCAGTTTTTAAAGGATGGTTGTGTGGATCCTTATAATGCTATTTCCAATAAACATAATTTTGTTTAAAATGCGTTTTGTAGCCCAATTGGTTGCACTCCAGGACATAATGTCCCTTTAAATTTGCATTTCAGATCTAGACATATATAAATGTAGCGATAAAACAGTTAAACTAGGGTATTCCCCTAAATTTCACTGTTCCCTTATCATTGAAAAAAAATAAAAGCCGTGAGTTGATTTTGAAAACTTCATGTGTAAAATAGGGGCCGAAATCGAATGAAGCTATTGATTAATTTTAATGTCATCCAAGAAATTGATGCTTGCATGAACAGTTCAGTGAAAATTCCCATGTATGATATCGGGCTGCAAGTTTAGGGATGAAAATTTGGAAACTGGGCGATTGATATTTCTCAAGATGTAAAAATTGTCAATTTTTTTGGTGTTGTGTTTGTTCTAGGCTTCATACGAGAACCCTCCACATATCTACGCCTTGACGGATAACATGTATCGTAACATGTTAATAGAGTACGAAAACCAGTGCGTGATTATCAGGTGAGGTGTCAAATTATTTCCATATTCATGATCAGTGGCATATCTAGGGCTCCCCCCCCACCCCCAAAATAAAAATAGGTGTTTCCATAGGCGTCACTAAAGGGTGGAGGGGGTAGTTGTTTTGGGTTGTTTGCGATACAATTGTCATCCTGTTGACAAAAGCACGAGTTTGTTGGCAGATTTGTCGCAACGAAGAGCGTCACCTAGTGTTCAATTATGACCAAGATCGTCTGATATGAACCCCCAATGATAAGATGGTCTTTAGCCCCCACCCGGAAAAAATATCTTGACTACCTTACAGCATGAAGACTACCTTTCAGCATGTTCCCCCCCCCCCCCTCGAAAAACCAGAAACTAAACATTTTTAGAGCTAGTATACAAATAACTGCTTTGAGTGATGTAGTAAAACTAGCCTCCTGAGTAGCCCAGGTTGGACGAAGTCTTCATTGCATTACGACTGACGTCCAGGATGAGAATTCTCCACATAAGACCACCCAAAATTTTGACCAGAGTTTTGTTATGTTTTACCTCGTTATAGAAGCTTATTTCACGCCTACATACTCTATGTGTCCTTATCTATTGGTCCGGGGGGGTCAGGATTTCCATATGTGATGCTGACCGACGTTAATCAGGAAAATAAACTCTAAAGCAACGTTAAACTTGTACGTGTTTGTAGACTCTTTTCATCAGTTTCTAATCACCGTACCGCGTTGTACGAAAGCGCACACGCTAGCGCCCTCCTTGGTTGGTTTTGGTGGGAACGTGCAGTGACGTCACTCCAGCCAACCGAAGTCATGAAAACACTCCACCAATGACCAAAGCCGAAACATGTTTCTGGTCACGGTCGCTACAACATGCCCGGTCATTGGATAGGCGATCGCGCTTACAAGTTAGTGTGCATGTGTTTGAGGGTGGTTACTTAGTCTGGTTCCATTTAGACATGAGCGTCGGGAATAATTGTCAGGTCTGGGAACCAGACTAGTGGTTACTAAGCAAATCGCGCGTGCGCACTGCGCGTTCACGCTGCACGCCACGGACGTACGTCATGCATGTACGACTAGACTCGGCGGTGAGAAACTGATGAAAAGAGTCTACAACAACGTACAAGTTTAACGTTGCTTTAGAGTTTATTTTCCTGATTAAGGTCGGTCAGCATCACATATGGAATTCCTGAACCCAGCGGCCCAATAGATAAGGACACATAGAATACTACGACGTAAAAATTGGCTTCTCCAACAAGGTAAAAATATTGAAAATATTGGTCATAAATTTTTTCGCCCGGTTTTGAGCACTTCATATCCTGGACTCCCTCCGTAACGTAGGGAGGAAAGGGAGTCCACCTGGGCTAGCCTCCTGAGGTGATCTATGAAGCATGTTATTTTTCCCGAGGCAAGGCCTAGTGAAAATAGAATGCTCCATGGATCACTGATGTAGGCTAGTTTTACTACACCATGCGTTATACATGTAGCAGTCAATATTGGCTTAATAACGCCACACCCACAGATTCTGCTTGATTTTAAGCGATAACTTATTAATTTTATCTAAATACAAGTAAGATATATTTCTATTTCAATACAAAATCACTTGAAAATGGACTTGCACTTTACCAGACTACCCCTTCACGAAATGTTGGAAACCAGTTCTGTAGCGCTAGCACTTAAGAAGAGTACGGGCAACTTTCACACTCGTATGCATGCACACAATATCGGTTGCTATGCGTATTGTACTCTGGTCGCTATGCATAGAGTCTTTTTGGCCGTGCACAGCAAGATAGCCAAAAAAGCATACATATGGCCAATCAAGATACAGAATCTGTTGGTGAGGTGTTGTAACATTAAACGTGACATGGTTCACTTTTTTTTCATATTTTTCCGTGGTTCTCAGTGGAGAGAGTGGTGCGGGTAAGACCGTCGCAGCCAAATACATCATGGGATACATTGCGAAAGTGTCGGGAGGCGGGGCCAAGGTGCAACACGTCAAAGACATCATCATCCAATCAAATCCTCTCCTTGAGGCGTTCGGGAACGCCAAGACGGTCCGCAACAACAACTCCAGCCGCTTCGTAAGTCATTCGTTTATCTGTTTAATAAAGAGGTTGTGGAATGCTCGAAGACATTTCTGTCATTTTTCGGGTATATGTAGCCTAAGGTGTGATGAAATAAAAACGACTATTGTGTCCGTCATGAAATGAGTACAAAAGGTACTTTTGAGAGCTGTTTTTCAGGTCCTGTTTCGACCCGAACGTGCAATTTGTGTAAATGTCGTCGTTGGGGGCAGCAAACAAAACATAGTAAATCGTGACGTAATAAACAGGACTCCCGATGCAGCGTAGTATAAACGAGTCCTGTTTATTACGTCATTATATTTTCATTTTACGAAGAACCCGACGACTGTTGATTTCAATTATGCGCTTGCCGACCAACAACGACTGTTGAATTTCAGTTTTATAAACATATAAACGCACATTACAAAAGAATGGGACTTTGACATTATGATATATACGGGTCTACTCTACAATAAAAAAAATATAAAAAACAAAACAAATTTCAGCATTCCTTACCTCTTTAAAATTGTTCTTGTGAAGATATTGCAGCTGCTGTGTTTTTCTCATTATTTAAAGCATACCTTATGACGACACAAAACAGTTAGTGGTTTACTGTTCAGGATCAAGTTACACCTGAGCTACAACCATTTGGAACATTGTTCATTGTACATTTTTCAAAGAAATATGTAACCTTAACCCCGGGAGCACTTTTACTATAAAGTATCCCGAATCCGCAAAAATCCACCAATTATGTCACGCAAAAAAAGTTGGTGTCCTGAGTCCATCAGAATCCACCAGTGAGTCCATCGGAATCCACCAGTGTAGTACATATACCTCGTACACACCAAACAAATGGCCAAGGAGGTAAACTGTTGAGATCCTGAATCCATCAAAGTCCCCCAACTACTCAATATGGAAGTATCCTGAATCCATCAAATCCTGCAGTTCCGCTAGGCTTACTGTCCTGAATCCATCAAAATCCCCCAACTGTTTCAATATGGAGGTATCCTGAATCCATCAAAATCCTGCAGTATCGCTAGGCTTACTGTTCTGAACCCATCAAAATCCCCCAACTTGTTCAATGTGGAGGTATCCTGAATCCACCAAAATCCTCCAAAAAAGGTGTGTGGATTTTGATGGATTCAGGTACGTTAGAGTTAAAGAAGAAACCTGTTATTTTCTCTTAAATGTTGTGAATTGGATTTTCAGAAATATTAAAAAAGAAAGTTGTCCCCCATAAAAAAGTATGATTGGACTTTTCAGTAGAGCATGCAGATACCTTTTTTTATGATCATAAAGTCAATACCATCTAATACATCTACTTCTCTTCCTCCCCCAGGGCAAGTATGTGGAGATACAGTTCAGCAGAGGGGGTGAGCCCGATGGTGGGAAGATCTCCAACTTCTTGTTGGAGAAATCGCGGGTCATCACCCAGAAAACGAGCGAGCGTAACTTCCACATCTTCTACCAGCTCCTGAAGGGGGCCGATGCTGAAATGAAAGGTCCTTAAAAAGTTTGAAGAATTTTTTTTTTATTCCAACCCTCCGGCGCAGAATCTAGCCCTTTTGGGGACCCAATTTGGTTAATTACCTTAATTAAAAAAAATTTTCAAACCAATTCTGGTGATCTTCCATCTAATCCTAGCAAGAGACACCCACTACGGATATATGCAGTCACCTTTAGTGTGTGACCCCGGGTCAGGCATATCTGAGCATGACAACCTGGGCTAAGGACCGATGCAATTTCTGCCCATCCGGGGACCCACTATATACACGCGCACAAAACAACTCCGACGCAATTTCTGCCCACCCGGGGACCCACCATATACACGTGCACAAACAAGGTCACTTGCGAGTAGACAGTGCACGGCTTGACCACAGACTGTGTATACAAATACACCTCCTTAGTCTAGAGACATGGCAAGATTGTGTTCATGTGGATACAGTGTTGTGTAGCCTCAAACCGTGGCGCTAAATATTTGGGTCCCCGGGGGACCCCTTACTGCAAGTGTGTTACTAAATTGGCTTTCTGCGTCGGAGGGTTAAACATCATCTTGTGAATACATGTATGTTGTGTTTTTTTTTTAACGTGGCGCACTTCAACGTCTCCCCTGACTTTCCTCATGCAGTGTTGCCAAACTTCTTTGTTGACAAACTTCAAATTCATTTAGTTATTACTTTTACCTTGATAGTAATGCTTGCTGTTGAACCTTTGTGGAAAATTTCAGTGTCATGGAATTTAGTCCGAAAGTCAAAATGTCGAAATTGGGCACAAAATCGGCCGAGTGTTGTCTAACGTGGCGCACTTGAACAAATCTCGGAAAATTCCATATTAATATTTAAGAATTTCTTGTCGGTTGATAAACTCCAAAAAATAATAATTTTCTCCACTCACATATCGGTACCCAACTATAAGTTTGTCCAAAAATGAAATTCTTATTTTTTGAATTTCGCATTTTTAAGGCCAAAAAAAAAAAAGTCTCCGGTTTCTGGTATGGAGCTTGCCCAAAAAGTGGTGCGGCGACGCGGCTTTCTTTTTTTTTTTACCTGATTTTTTGGCTTCAAATGTCAGCTGATGACTGCAAATGGTGCCTGACTAAACTTAGTGCAAATATATGGGAGTCCAGAGAGGCCACATAAAGCTTATTCTCAATCATAATCCCATTCAAAAACACGTTAAAATTGTGCAGCAGCAGGATTCCAGTCAAACCAGTGAGTTTGGCGGTTTTGAGACATCATCTTTCATTGAAAAAAAAACGTTTTCATTACGCGTGCGCATACCAGAAACTGGAGACTTTTTTTTTTTGGCCTAAAAGGGTTCACTGTGCACTTTGAAATAAAATTGGAAAATCATGCCAAAATAGAATTTCTGCGGAACTTTGTAGTGGGTAGATTAACTAAATATTTATGACTGGGGACGTGCAAAACCGACCTAAAACTGACTTCAGGTTGAGTCTGGTCGGTTTTACCATCATTTTAGTCAGGTCGGTTTCAATTTTGTGGTTGCGATTTTCAGGTCGGGTTGGTAAAGCTATCTTGTGAAACAAACGAAATAAACCGATAAAATATCCGAAGTTGTTCGGAAATTCACGCGGTGCAATATCATTGCACAGTTGTTGTGCCTGGTATGACCAACGTCAACCCATTACGCAAATGTGCCTGTGGTTTGCAGTAATGATGTGCATCAGGTCGGGTTGACCGGGCCAAACCGACCCGAAACAGTAGAGATATAAACCAAATCCGAACTGAAACCGAGCTTAACTCCCTCAAACCGACCCGACCCAACCCGACAAAAACATAAGGTAAAACCAACCCAACCCGAAAAAAATACGAAAAAAATATGAATACCTTGCTTGGACAAAGTGATTACTTTTTTTGCCTTCCCTTACCCACGTGGCATGAATTCTTTTGCAAAACCATCTTCTCTCTCTCTCTGTCATACTCAGTGGGTTGATCGAGAGTAACTCCGCTTATTGAACAAACACACGGTATCACCACGCGGTATCATGAAAACTGTTACAATGTATCTATTTCACTGTCAGTCCCATCCGACTGGAGAAATTAATACCGTGGGAACTTGATAGTGCGCTCGGTGGCCACACCACACTAGGGCTGCGGTCACAGTGACTGTCAATAATATTGCATCACCTACATTGTAAATTTCTCAACTGTTTTGGTTTATTTTGGTTTATTTTGGTTTTTTCATAAGATGGCTAAACCGACCCGACCCGAAAATGACAATACAAAACCTAAGCCAACCCGACCCGATTGAAAAGATGGACACACCGTCCCGACCCAACCCAAAGTCGGTTTCGGGTCGGGTCGGTTTCGCTTTCGGGTCGGGTTTGCACATCATTAGTTTGCAGTCTATCACACACGGTCTATAACATGTAGGCCCACTAGAAGGTAACGTTTTGAGTCTTCACTGTACCATACAGTATGATTCAGTTACTGAGAGAGGATGATTTTCACGCAACGCGGGTAAGTTCAGCCACAAAAAGTGGACATAGTTGCCCAAGCCAGATGTTCAGGGTTTTTCAGGTTGGTTGAACTTGGTTGGTTGGGTTTCGGGTCGGTTTGGGCTTCAATTTTTGTCGTTTCGGATCGGGTCGGGTCGGATTTGAAAACAGTGGTTGCTTATCATTTGTTCTTTGAATCGCAATTAAATACAGAATTTCTTGTTAACTTTTTTTTTCTGTTCAGAGGGTTTTGGTCTGACGAACCCAGACTACTATTACTACCTGAACCAAAGTGGAACGTTCCAAGTAGACGGCATGAACGATGCCACGGAATTCAACGACACGATGGTAAGACAGACCTCGTCACTAGAGGGCCAAATTGGGGGCGGAGCTAGACTACTAAAGATGGGGGTGTAGGTCAAACAGATTTAAGAGTGTGAAACTGGCTGTAACTACTCAGAAGAGTACTGTGCTCCAGTGGTTATGTGTGCCATGGTATGTATGTGAGGTGCTGTGGTCCAGTGGTTATGGTGTTTGACTCGTGTGCCGTGGTACATGGGTTTGAATCCTGACTGTGGGAACATGGTGCTTGCGCTCCTGAGCAAGGCACTTTACCATTATTGCTTCGTCCTTCGGATGGGACGTGAAGCCGTAGGTGCCGTGTGTTGTGTAATGCACGTTAAAGAACCCAGTAACACTTATCGCTATAAAGAGAAGGGGTTTGCCCCGGTGTTTCTGGCAGTGGCTGCTTAATGCCCCTGCAGCACCTTGTAAACCATTATAAAGGTGCTGCATAATGGTTCTCATATTTCTCATGTACTTCATTTACCTGTCTCTAGTAATAGACATAATTTCCAGCGCCTTGAGTACCTAATTGTTGGTAGATACGTGCGCTATATAAGACTTCGGTATTATTATTATTATGTGGGTTCGAACGCTGACGGGGAACATGGTGCTTGTGTTCTTGGGCAAGACACTTTACTACAACTGCTTCTCTCCACCCTGAGTATAAAAGGGTATCGATGAGTGGTAGAGACCAGATTATGCTGATCTCGATCACGCCTGATGAACAGGGGTAATAAATGCGAAGCACTTTGAGATCTTTTGTAAATAACGCTTTAAAAAACACCACGTTTGTTATTATTATTATTAGTGTGACAATACACTATTTTTCCTTTCAACAATATTCAAATTGATAATGTTAAGAATTAAACTTTTAAAAATTGTATTTCGTTGTCCTTTCAACTTTTGTTGTGTGTGTACCCTTCCCAGAGTGCAATGTCAGTCATCGGTATATCGGAGGACGACCAGTCCAGCGTTCTCAATTGCGTCGCCGCGATACTCCATCTTGGCAACATCCAGTTCAAAGAGCAGGGAAATTACGCAGTAGTGGCGCAGGAAGACTGTGAGTACGGGGAAAATGACAGGGACACGTCTGGAAATTATGACTTTCGCTTATTGCTGTTTGAAGACAGTGTTTAAAATTGTGTTTAATCGCTAAACACATTTTTTTTGGTAGGCCACGCAGAGGCAAAACTTGGTCCCATGGTCAATGTGACCTCTCTTGGAAAATGACTCATAACTCTGTCAAAAATTATCAGATTTGGACGTTTGATGTGTCATTTTAAAGTGGAAAGGCCTATCTTTCAAACCATACCTGTATTATTTATGTTTGTTAAACATTCTGCGTCTGGCATTCCGTCCTATATTGTTTGCATTTTTTTGATACGCACGGCATACTTTGTTTTGAAATCTTATCTGTTAAAGTTTGGAAAATTTCCCGAATTATTTCTGATTTTGTTTCCACAACTTTAATATGTCAAGTTCTCGTTTTCCTTTCATGATAAAACTGTTTTGTTTTCAAACATTCAAGCATTAATTTATCAAAACTATTGCTGGGTTTTCCTTTGAAATAAAGCCCTTGCAACATTATCGAAAAATTGATCAATTTTATCTGAAACTTGTTTTATTTCCTGCATATAAGATGGGAATGTGCATGGTAAGTGCTTACTGTTCCAAATCACGACCTTTTTTGCAAATTTAGTTTTGTACTTACACTCCAAACAAAAATTTGAATCTATTTGTTTCTCTCTTAATACCACATTTCTTTCTTTCCTTTCTCTGTGGTTTTCCTCTGCTGCGACTTTTGTCCTCAAATTCTGAAATAGCATACGGTCCGGTGAAAATTTCTTCAAGTTTAGTGTAGAGCATGTTTGGTAACAAAAGTAACCAACAAAATTGTGGTGTGCTGTTGTCCGTTTCAAAGTAAATTCTGGTAAACATTTCTTCAAGTTCCTTCCTTCCTTCCTTCCATGGAGTGCAGTCCTCAAAAGATGAGTATAGTCGCTGCGACTGTGGTGTGTGTGTGAATGCGTGCAGGTGCAGTATGTACAGATGTGCAGAGTAAAAAAGTGATGTATGTGGTTTACATCACTGATTGATCCCTTAGCGCAGACTTGAAGGCGTCAAGGGATGGAGATGCTGCAGGGTCCTTCTTAAGTGTGTTCCAGTCACGCCGTGTGCGAAGAAAGAAGGAGTTGGTATACGCTTGTGAGCTTGAGTATGGGCACTGGAAGCGAGACGCATGACCTCTGGTGGTAGTTGTGGATGGTATGAGGTACTGGGGCCATTTGATGTCGATCAAGTCAAACCGAATGCGGTACATCATTTCCAGCCCAGCTAAGTACCGTCTATCAGCTAGGGAACGCCAATGGAGATCTTTGATCATGTCAGTAGCACTGCTTGACCAGTCATAGTCGACTGTCACAAATCTTGCTGAGCTACGCTGAACTTGTTCCAGTTTTTTAATGTTACGTTGAGTGTGGGGGTTCCATGATGTTGATGCATATTCTACTATTGGTCTGACAAACATGGTGTAGCTACTTTCCTTGATCTTTCAGCTGCAATGACTGAGGTTGCGGCTCAAGAAGGCACAGGTAGAATTTGCCTTCTTGGTGACTGTATCTACGTGTATGTTGAAGTTTAGCTTTGAGTCTATATGCACTCCTAGATATTTGGCCGAGTCTACGAGTTCCAATTCGTGCCCGTGGATGGTGTAGGTCGTTGTGATTGGAGCGCGTTTGTTGTAGTTTAGTGTAGAGCATGTTTTGTAACAAAAGCAACCAACAAAATTGCGGTGTACTGTTGTCCGTGTTGTGTGTAGCCCACATATTCCTTTGATTACAAAACCATAAATATACGCACATGCATGAATGACTAAATGATAAGATTTATGAATGTTAGTTATTTTATCATCGTGTTGATTAGATGATTTGTAGAACTGTTCACACAAAGAGTGGTTTGCATGTCAGTCATTCTGTAAAAGCTTGGTCCACTTTCTTTTCCTGTCCCTGTTAAATCTGACGTCTATGATTTCATAAATCTGATGCACTCCTTAAAGATATAGTCCATCATTTGTAATTTGTGCATTTTGTTCGTTTGAAGCAACAAAAGTGCTCAAAATCTAAAGAAGGGTGCTGAACAACTAACCTGATGAAGTTTCAGCTCAGCTTCAGCTGTATATTTTGAGAGAAACAGCATTCTAGGATCTCGATTTCAAATCAAAAGTTGCTGAACTATGTTTTGAATTGGGCCTGAATTCAGCGTCCGAGACACGTTCTCACTGAGCCGATTGTAGCTACGCGATGTCGCGCACCGATCCGACGAATTATAGCAGCCGCGCGCATGAGCATCGTGCCAACGCTTGCGCGCGCTTCGCCGAATAAAAAACTAACTACTAACGAACATTTCCAACGGTGCGTCCATGCACCATTGGAAAGGCCTTCTTTTGTTGATTTCTTCAAAATGACAGCTTGCCAGAGAGAATAATTTCACAGGGAGTTTAGTCCCCTTACTATCTTTCAACCAAGCATGTTTGTCAGCAATAATTACGTCAGTTACTTTTTGGATAGTTGCAAATGATGGACTATAGCTTTAATGCAGTCATCCTCCAAGAGTGATTACAATTAGCGAGCTACCTACTCAACTCAGTTGATGTCATTCTTAGGCCGCCCTGGGGTCAACCTGTGAATTGCTTGTGCCGCGTAACTGTCAGCATCAAGCAGATAAGTCATGTTCAGGTCACGAAACTGAGAAATTGTGTGATTCTCGTGGAACGAGCGGCATCTTGACACAAAATACTTGTAAGCGCAACCAGGCTCATGTCACCCACAATGAAACAGCGATTCCACAGCGTAGAGAGTCATGTTAAAAGCAATTACGGTTAAAGCATGTTGATAACAATCACACGACATCCACAGTCACATCTGTTAAATCTCCAATTTTTGCCGCACGCTGATTAGCGACACGACTGTGATGATGATTCCCGCCTGTTGGGAACACGTCGCAGAAGTTGAAACTTCTCTACTCTTGCAACTGTGGATTTCTATCAGCGCCGACTGATGCCGATCATCTTAATATCATCGCAGTTCCACTCGGGTCGCAAAAAAAAGCCGACTAAGTTATTCCTGACAGCTCTAGCTCAGGTGCAGCTTGATCCTAGCAAGTCAGTCGCTGACTGTTCTGTGTCGACGCAAAGTCGACCTGAGGTCGGCTTTAATGATTTTTGATTGGCAAAGTACCAAGGTAATAGGGACAGGAAACAAATGTTGCACTTTGGACCCAAACTTTATAGAGTGAACCATGTTGCTTCCATGGTTCCAAAAGGTGTCCATTCCTGCACAAAAATGCATGTTTTTCACTACAGGGGAGGGGGGTGCAGCAGGGTCGCGACCCCCTCCTTTCCTATTTGGAGTGCTGTGGTCCAATGGTTATAATGTTCGCCTCAGGTGCTGTAGTTCATATGTTAGAATCCTGACGGGGAATATGGTGCTTGTGTTCTTGGGCAAGACACTTTACTACAATTGCCTCTCTCCACCCAGGAGTATACATGGGTACCTGTGAAGGTAGAGACCAGAACGCGCTGATCTCGAGCTGCTGCAAAAAATAGTCTCATGGCCTGATGAATAGGGGTAATAATTGTAAAGCGCTTTGAGACCTTTGGTATTTAAAAGCGTTATATAAGCACCACAATATTATTTTTATTAGTATTTTGGGGTGTGGTTTCTGCTGGTAGCCGTCAGTATTAAGCTTAGTATATGTTTGGAGGGTGGCCACACACTTTTAGACTTTTCAAATAGCATAAAGTAACGGCTGCTATATAAGAGCATGCTGGCAGAGTTACAAGCAAGGCCAAGTTCGGGCAAGGACCACTTAATAGTCGACTAGTAGTTGATTTGTGACGTACCTTACGCCTGCGCACTGATAACAACGTGCGAACGTCTCTAGTCAAACGCTGGTCAAAATGTCATTGCAAAACTTCTGGATCCTGGCTCTCTGCTAGCTTTATGAATGCGCACGGCTATTGGTTACCAGCGAAGCAACCAACCCCAGTAGGCTGGTTCCAAATAGTCGACTAGCGTAGTCAACCACCGTCGACTAGACAGAGTTCGGGCAAATGTTAGTTAACCATTGGTCAACTATAGTCCTTGCGCGAACTTGGCCCAAGCTGATCACTATAGTTATCACAAGTCAAGCACAGGTCAATCACAGATCATCATAAGTCAATCATAAGCCATCACAAGTCTATCACAACTTATCACTCTACAATCGCAAGTCATCACAAGTCATGTCCTGTTATTTTTAACCTGACTCGTGCCAAATTGATTTGTGATTGCCTTGTGATTGATTTGTGACTGCCTTGTGATTGCCTTGTGATTGCCTTGTGATTGACTTGTGATTGATTTGCTATTGATTTGTGAGTGCCTTGCGATTGATTCAGTTTCAAACTCTGATCACAAATTTGTACATTTTCCAATAGTCCTGGATTTCCCTGCCTATCTCTTTGGCGTGGACAAAGAGCTCCTGCGATCCAAACTGATCAGCCGACAGATGGACAGCAAATGGGGAGGACAGACAGAATCCATCAAGGTCACGCTCAACACGGAGCAAGCCGCTTACACCAGGGATGCCTTAGCCAAAGCCGTCCACGCTAGGGTCTTTGACTTTCTAGTAGAGGTAGGATAGATGAGATTTTGTAAGTCCTCACTAATCATCATGTTCATCACAAGTCCTCACAATCCTCACAAGTCCTCACACAGCCTCATGAGTCCTCACAAGCCCTCACATGTCCTCACAAATCCCCTCATGTCCTCAAAAATACTGATAGGTCCTCACAAATCCTCACAAGCCGTGACAGGTCCTCATAAGTCCTCACAAGTCCTCACACAGACAGACAAATGGACAGCAAATGGGGAGGACAGACAGAATCCATCAAGGTCACGCTCAACCCGGAGCAAGCCACTTACACCAGGGATGCCTTAGCCAAAGCCGTCCATGCTAGGGTCTTTGACTTCCTAGTAGAGATAGGATAGATGAGATTTTGTAAGTCCTCACAAATCCTCAAGTTAATCACAAGTCCTTACAAGTCCTTACAAGTCCTTACAAGTCCTCACAAATCCTCACAAGTCCTCACACATCCTTATGAGTCCACACAAGTCATCACATGTCCTCACAAATCCCATCATGTCCTCAAAAATACCGATAAGTCCTCACAAGTCCTCACACAGACAGACAGATGAACAGCAAATGGGGAGAAAAGTCCATCGCAACTCCTGTCAATCATTACAAGTCCTCACACATCCTTATGAGTCCTTACGAGTCCACCACAAGTCTTCACAAATCCTCGTAGGGTATTCAAAAGTCCTCATTAGTCCTCACAAGTCCTCACAAGTCCTCACAAGTCCTCACCAGTCCTCACAAATCACTACAAGTCCTCATAGGTCCTCACAAGTTCTCAAAAGTCCTCGCAAGTCCTCACAGATCTGTCACACCTCACAAGTCCTCACGGATCTGTCAAAGTCCTCAAACCTCACCAATACTCAAAACCCCACAAGTCCATCTCAAGTTCTCACAGGCACATGAAAGGTCCTCAAAAATCCTCACAAGTCCATGAGAAGTCCTCACAAATCCTCACAAGTCCACAGGAAGTCCTCACAAATCCTCATAAGTCCTCACACGCATCACAGGTTCTCACAAGTCCTCACAAGTCGCTCAGTCTCGAGTCAAGTCACAAGCTATTCAAGGGAACTGTTACAATGGCATTCCTTTTTTACTGTACCTCCCCTGTCACAAATTTCTTGAGTCCAACGACCAAACTTTCCAAGACCAATCCAGAATCATCTTATTGATGCGACCTCTATCGCCACAACAACTCGACAGTGGTTGCCTGGGATTGGGACCGGCTACATCACGGGAACCAAAGTTCAAATCCAATCTTGGACAAAGAGTCGATCGAACCTGCCCCCAAAAACTTTTTTTTTTGTTCTCGTCTTTCAGTCTATCAACCAGGCCATGCAGAAGGATCGCGAGGAGATCAATATCGGCGTCTTGGACATCTACGGCTTTGAGATCTTCCAAGTAAACGGCTTCGAGCAGTTTTGTATCAACTTCGTCAACGAGAAGCTCCAGCAGATCTTCATCGAGCTCACGCTGAAAGCTGAGCAGGTCAGTCACTGAGAAATAAAAAGCTGTTTAGTAATGGGAATGTACAACATCTCGCTGGAATTTTCAAAAATGGATGGATCAGGGGGTCACTTTTTATAGCAAATATTGTTACACTGACTCGTTTGAAGTTTTGTGTTTGTGAACGCTGGAAAACCCAAGGAACACAATCATGTTCCTGTAGTCTGGTACCCTGACCCTACTTAAGATGAAACGGAGCAATTTATAGACGTCATGGAATTATAAGGTCAGGGAACCAGTCTAGTAGGCTTGTACCCATTCATATGTGTGTAATCAATTGCAATCAAAATGCAGACTATATATGGTAAATTGGGGGCACTATTTGAATAAGCCAGTTTTTCCAACGCTGGTCGGCTGACCAGCATTGGAAATTGATACAAAAATATCACTTTACTTGAATATGACAGCACACCAGATGCCATGATTTTACGGGATGTTTTAGACTGTCATTCACTAACAGTCAAGTAAGGTATTTCCAAAGGCTTGAGAATTCTGCACCCACTTACGATCTGGACCGACATGAACTTTTTTTCTGGAAATTTGGATCAACAAGACAAAAATCAGAGAAAACGGTAACATCAGACCATACAGTGACATCGACATCATGCATGAGCTGCTAGGCCGGTCAGCGATCAATTACAAAATTACAACATCGGCTGCAAATGGTGCTGGACTAAATCATAGTGCAAAGTACATGGGAGCCCAGAGAGGCCACATAAAGCGTATACTCGATCGTAAGGCCAAAAAAAAAAAGTCTCCGGTTTCTGGTATGGAGCTTGCCCAAAAAGTGGTGTGGCGACGCGGCTTCTTTTTTTTTTTTACCGGTCTTTTTTGCTTCAAATGTCGGCTGATGACTGCAAATGGTGCCTGACTAAACTTAGTGCAAATATATGGGAGTCCGGAGAGGCCACATAAAGCTTATTCTCGATCATAACCCCATCTAAAAACATGTTAAAATTGTGCAGCAGCAGGATTCCAGTCAAACCAGTGAGTGTGGCGCTTTTGAGACATCATCTTAGGCCAAAAAAAAAAATACTCGGTCTCTGGTCAGCACGCGCGTCGATTTTAATCATGCGTGTCAACCTTTTTTTTTCCTTCAAATTAACACGGAAGCTACAACAGCGCCCTCTATTGCCGCGCCTCCTCAAATTTTTGTACCAAGGAGCACCAAGGAATGGGGAAATTGCACCAAGGCAAATGATAAAGGGCACCAAGGCAAATTATGGAGGACACCAATGTATAATGAGGACACAAAAAAGCAAAATAGTACCCACCTTGTCTGTACAATACAAGCTTGAAAAAATAAAAAGCCACCATTTTTAATGTTGCCGATGCCCATGGCTATGGCAATGTTCGTGCATACCAGAAACCAGAGACTTTTTTTTGGGGGGGCCTTCATGGCCTTAGGCACCCTAGATACATTTTTCGGGCCAAATGATAATGGTCTAAAAATGTCAATCTTTGTAGAAAACTGATTTATTTAACATGAATTTTACATCTTTTTGTTTTTGGTTTTCAGGAAGAGTACGTGCATGAAGGGATCAAGTGGAATCCTATTGACTACTTCAACAACAAGATTGTGTGTGATCTGATTGAAGAGAAAAAGGTCAGTCTGGTTCCCAGACCAAACGCTTCTGACTAATTTTAAGTCAGGTAGCTGTCACATTCAAACGTGGGTACCTGTTAAAGAAACCCAACCGTCAAATTCAAATCTCAAAATCTTGGGTTTATTTTTGCCAAAAATTTTTGCCAACATTTCGAAATTTTCTAAAGGCAAAATTTCACAGCCAGCTTCTGATATACAGCCAAACGCCATAAACGCTGATTCGCAAGAGTGATTTCGACAGTATTTCTGCAATGTTTCTTGCCGAAACCTGATATGTTTTAATAAACCGGGGCGTGCACTGGAGCGTTAATTGTTTAACAATAGGCCGTGCACAACGGCCCACACAACGGTCAGTACGCGGTCCACCTCCACAGACTTCATGGACTTTGTGTGTGTGTGCAAAAGGTACGAGGGATAAGCGTGTTTAGACGTCACCCGGAGGCGAGTTGAGGCAATCTTGACGTCTTAACCCGTCAGCCATGCCTGTGTATAAAAACAGCCAGTGCGTGTTATCACTGTCTCCAGCGCTAACTAGTTAATAAAGGTCAGAGCAATAATACTACAACATCGGTGCATCGATACAAGACTTCATGTGTGTATGAGCTCCGTGCGCTACCAAAAGAGGGCGCCCTTTTGCCTAACAACGACGCCCCATGGGCGGGACATTTCGCTGGTTGACGCGCACCGTTCCTTGTGTGTGACGCACGTATACCAGGGGATTTGTACTATGTACACGCAGTGGCCGCGCTTCGCGGAAAATAAATTGCAGTCAGGCAAGATGGCGTCGGTCGGTCACCCCCAACTGTACTTCCTTCGCCGGTGAGGGGGTGCTTGTGAACGGAGCGGATATGTAGGTTTTTGATGAAAACTTCGACTTACACAAGCGTCCTTAACTTGACATCTGTTTTGTTTTTTCCACTTACCCTGGTTTTCACTTTGAAAATTCCTCATTCATGACCCTCAAAACCTTTCTTTTCATTGTCTGAGAAGTTACCAAGTACTTTGTAAAGTTGGTTACGGGTACCGGATTCCATAATCGGGAACCGGTTCCTGACATCAGTGGCCGGTACTCGGTACCCAGTTCCATGACGCAGCAAAGCACAGCCCCTTGTTTTATAATCAAGAATGTCCGGTTTTTTTTTTAATTTTCAGTCACCTCCAGGAATCATGAGTATTCTGGACGACATCTGCGCCACCATGCACGCGAAGAGCGAAGGTGCCGACGAAAAACTGCTGCAGAAACTGAACGGGGCGGTCGGTACCCACCAGCACTTTCAGGGCACCGGCACAGGGTTCATTATACACCACTACGCTGGCAAGGTACGCCCCGTAATTTCCTTTTCACAATATTACCATTTTATAACACCTCACGCACTAAGTCTGTCTCTTGATTGGTCACACACTGTTGTTTTACCATACAGGGTGAGTAAAAAAAAAGCAAAACCCAAATGTCAGGATCGTTATTTTAGTGAAGTTCTGCATGTAGCACTTTGAAAATCTAGGATATGAAAGCCCAATTCATAAGCTTTCTTTCAGTACAAGAATCATTTAAATCACTCATGTAATTTCCAAGTTACGGAACTTTAAACACAACCACTGTTTTAAAGTTCTGTCGACCGATCACAGAAAAGGTGTGCGTTCTTTCAGCAAAACGAAAACAGTTCACACACATCCCTATGTGATTTGTTTTCATTTTGCTGAAACAACACTTACCTTCTTGTGATCCGTGGACAGAACTTTGAAACAGTGGTTGTGTGTTTAAAATTCAATAACTTGAAAAGAACATGAGTAATTTGAATGATTCTTGTATTAAAAGAAAGCCTATGAATTGGGCTTTCATATCCTAGATTTTGAAAGAGCTACATGCAGAACTTCACTAAAACAATGGTCCCAACATTTGGGTTTCGCTTTTTTTGACTCACCCTGTACTCTTGAGGACAATACTTTGTGTTTCCCTTTGTCCCTGTAATATAACACTCTCCCGTAGACTAAGCACACAAACCTACTACAGAGGACCGTTTTGAACAAAAGACCCAACTTCTGAGGACTGAAAGGATCTGTTGTTCTCCCTTTGTGTGTCTGTCCTCGGGGTTTATGTAGAACAATGCGTCACATGGTGTTCGCTAATGTGACCATTTGACAGCGCATAACCATAAAAAACTATACCACTGGAGCCTCACTATGAAAAAATATCATAGCGTCTCCCCCTCAGATTCTATCTCCTGATTGGTCGAGATTGCGTCACATGCTATTTGCTATTTTTAGCATTTCACAGTGCATAACCAGAAAGACTAAGGGCCTAATGCTCGAGTTGGCCATTCTTGTCGAGTTCCCTGAATGTATTTCATTAATTGTGAACTGTTGAATGGGATGGCGCCAGACTATTTAGGTAGGCATAATGCAGCCTTATTTTACTGTCATTTTTTAAAATCTGGCTTTAAACATTAGGGAATGTCTAATTGCAAATGTTGAACTATTCATTGAAGCAGACTGGAATTAAATAGTAATTCACTTGCTTTCGTTTCTCTTCGCAAGTTCCAAAAATTAAAATTTTACTTCATTTTTAATGCAATATGGCTGACTCGTGCATAAGGCCCATACCACTAGAGCCTCACTCTGAAAACCTCTGTATGCATAGCAACCAACGTTGCAACAAGATGTCTGCGTGCACATGCATACGGGTGTGCGTGTTGCGCGTATTGTTCCGACGCGCAACAGAGTTGGGTTCAAACATTTCAGGAAAGGGTAGTTTGGAAAAGTGCAGTTGTTTTCTGTTATTTCTGTCGCTAGGTGACATATTCGATTGACGGATTCTGTGAGCGGAATCGAGACGTGCTGTTTCCTGATCTGATCGAGCTTATGCAGTCTAGCGAAAGGTGAGTCATGATAACATCATGTCAAAATAACCCGCCAAATTTCTTTTTGCCCCAAAAACCTGGACTTCTCTTTTATCCCTGACTAAATTCTGTCTTCCAGCCATTTCATACAGAGATTGTTTCCGGAGAAACTCGAGACAACAGAAAGGAAACGGCCTACGACAGCATCAACCAAAATCAGGGTGAGTCCATTCAAATCGACATAATCGAGAAAGCTAATTTTTCTTCCCTTTTTCTGAGAAGGGGAGGGGGGCGTGAAAGACTTTACTTCATGAGTGAGACAGAGTTCATGGTCGTGACTGTCAATTGAAAAGGATTCCCATTATTTTGTGGAATGTCAGTTGGTGCATGGAGTGTTTTATAGCACGTGGAACACCCAATTTGTGTGCAGTACAGTGCTAGCCCAATGCGAAATGAGTGACCTCGCGACCCATTTTCGCGACTGCAATAAGTTGGTAGCTGGTCAGTGGAGACCTGAAGCATGTGTTGTTGCGAGGGCCTAAGGGACAAGGTGATTGATTGCCAAAAAAAGGCATATGCTGAAGTTTGTTACTAACCAACGGGGAAACACAATCATTTCTTGAGCTGCTTTACGCAGCTGAAAATATATGGGCACTTCTAGTGTTATGTTACGTCAAGACGGCTTTTAGGAGCTCAGTGAATAAACTTGAATATGTATTTTTTCAAATCTTATACATCCATCATCTAGAAGTGGTCCAGGAGATTGCAGACTAGGAGTTTGGGATCATTTCTCTGAATCATTAATTAGATATCATGGTTAATGGGCTCTGTTGTGGACATTACCAGAGATGACATTTTTCTGATTTTAATCAGAAATCTGACTTTTTGACTTTTCCAATGAACCTTCCGATTTTCTTCAACGATTTTACCTCAATTTGAAGAAATGTGGATGAAAAGTCGATGAAAACAACATGTAAAAATGAGCGTAGGTTTAATCTCTTTCACCAGTTGTTAATAGAGTGTTTCTAGGGGAGAAACACCTAGGCCAACACCGATCGGAGCCTTTTCCGGCTGGATAAAAGGTTAAACAATGACCTTTGACATGGAAAAATCACTGCGTCACACGGTAATACAGTGTTTGCTGCGTGCGTGTACTAGCTGCACATGATGATATGCAACGGTACCAACGTATGTATTGTGCCGCTCGCTAGCACATGGTTGGTCGGGTACGGGTTGCCTCATCTGCTCAGTAACATCCAGTGGATAAAATCCAACCAGCATGTGTGATTATGGAGGTTTCAGATTGAGTTGTACAAAATGCAATGCTTTAACCCTGCGCAGCGTTTACAAAAAACTTTACAACAACTCGTCAACTGCTGGGCAGCAGGTACTTTCCCGCACTACGCAAGACCCTATTCATAGCAATACAACAAAAAGCCACGTGCCAGACAGTGTCCAGACAGTTGCCAGACAGTGCGCTGGAAAGATAATTGACTGGCGGCTGTGGTATGCAGTTATGAAGGGAGATGACTGTGTCAAGTTACAGGTCTTTGTTGAATTTCAATGAGACTTGGCAGGAGGCCTGGTCAAAAGTTTGTTGACACGGCCTGGGTGCAGCCCTGGCTGCAAAGTTCATTGAACCAGCTGATTTGGCAAGGGTTGAATGAGGATTAGATAGGAGGTGAACGTTATTACCTGGGGCCCAAAAGGTAGCAGGTCACTCTGCACAGGGTTAAAAATCAGGATGATTCTCTTGAGGATGGCGAAGTGAGCATTAGTGATACATTTCACTGGCATTCGTTGGAAGAAAAAGACAAGCCCGATTGTTTTCCCACGTACATGTATGAATATTACAAGTGGCGAAGTGGAGTTGTATGGTTGAATCACATGTGCCAGTTTCATTTCTGCATTACGCTTCTTTTCATCAAGCTGGAATTGCCTATATATTCAAATAGATTTTACCGGTGATTAATTTGGGGTAAACGTAATTTAATTGGGCCAGGTTGTACAGTTTGCCAGTCTTTGTTCTTCGCAGACCCAAGCCAATCTGCTCGTGACGAGGCTGATGAAGTGTACGCCTCACTACATCCGCTGCATCAAGCCGAATGAGACCAAGAGACCGAGAGACTGGGAAGAAAAGAGGTGAGTTTGAGAAGAAAAGAAACTAGAGTTCTGAAAATGACATGTCATGAAAAGTGTGTCATTCCACACTTTATTTTGTGTGGGGGAGTGCGGTCTAGTGGTTAGGGTTCGTGACTCATGATCAGAGGCTCAGGGGTTCGAATCCAGCTGGTGGCCACATGTTGTGTCCTTGGGCAAGCCACTTCACCCCACTTGCCTCTCTCCACATAAGAGAATGGGTACCGGCATTAGCTGGGAGTAACCTGCGATGGACTAGCATCCCATCCAGGGGGAATAGAAATATTCTCAGTCTGCTGGCCATATGTTGTGTCCTTGGGCAAGCCACTTCACCCCACTTGCCTCTCTCCACCTAGGAGAATGGGTACCGGCATTAGCTGGGAGTAACCTGCGATGGACTAGCATCCCATCCAGGGGGAATAGAAATAATATTTGTCTGCTGGCCATAGGTTGTGTCCTTGGGCAAGCCACTTCACCCTACTTTATTGCCTCTCTGCACCTAGGAGAATTGGTACCGACATTAGCTGGGAGTAACTTGCGATGGACTGGCATCCCATCCAGGGGGAGTAGAAATATTCTCAGTCGTTTCATGCCACTGAAACCGGAGATAAACGCCAGCCTGATGGGCCATTTTGGCTTGTGACAGACTTCACTTCACACATTTTATCCCCCTGAAAGGAATTTCGTCCCAAAAGAAGTGTCTTGAAAAACCTGGAATGCTTTGAATGTTAATCTGCGAATTCCAGAGAGAAATTGACATCTGTTTCAGGAGAAAAGACTTTTTGATAGTAAAACTAAACAAATTTCTAAAATCTTTTTTGTTTCTCTGTTATTTTTACGTCGTAGAGTGCACCATCAAGTGGAGTATCTAGGATTGAAGGAGAACATCCGAGTTCGACGCGCCGGCTTTGCCTACAGGAGGGAGTTCGACAAATTCCTCAGAAGGTTCGTTCTGCCACACCCGAACTAATTTAAAGCTACAGTCCATCATTTGTAATTTGTGCATTTTGTTCGTTTGAAGCAACAAAAGTGTTCAAAATCTAATGAAGGATACTGAACAACTAACCTGATGAAGTTTCAGCTCAACTTCAGCTGTATATTCCGAGAAAAACAGCATTCTAGGATCTCAATTTCAAATCAATAGTTGCTGAATCATGTTTTGAATTGGGCCTGAATTCAGCGTCCGAGACGCGTTCTCACTGAGCCGATTGCAGCTATATGCGATGTCACGCACTGATCCGACAAATTATAGCAACCATGCCCGCTTGTGCGTCGTGCCAATGCTTGCGCGCGCTTCGCCGAATAACAAAACGAACAACTAATTTAAATTTTCCTACGGTGCGTCTTAAGATGCACCATTGGAAAGGCCTTCTTTCGTTGATTACTTCAAAATGACAGCTTGCCAGAAAGAATAATTTCACAGGGAGTTTAGTCCCCTTACTATCTTTCAACCAAGTATGTTTTACAACAATAGTTACGCCAGTTACTTTTCGGATGGCTGCAAATGATGGACTATAGCTTTGATAATCTGTACACTGGCATGTTTTGGAATGTTTGGTATGGTGTAAATTTGTGCATATTATAAACGGATAGTATCGTTTCGGTCTGCGGTAACACCACGTGGTAATAACTACTGCTTAGAAGATATTTAGTTCTGAAAAGAACTTGTCCTGCTTATTATCAACTTTCGCTAAGCAGTTTTTGTTCTGATAAACGGATAGGCGTTAAATTTGGGCACTCCAGTTCATTATCATCATCATTGGGCGGCCGCAGCCGAGATGGATGCAACCAAACTCTTCCAGACTCTCTTGTCCGCTGGCCGTGATGATGTCATCAACGTGCTGGCTCACATCATTGCATACAGTGTCAACGTAGTTGAGGGGTCTCCTCCCTCTGTTGGGGCAAGGCAATCACCAGCAGATGAGGTCAGAGACAACTTGCTCTTTGGCTCTATAGCAGTGGGCGGCGAAGCGTGCTCTGCGTTCTGCTATTGTAGTGATAAGTGGGATGCTGCCGTATATTTCCGCCTTTGTCTTATGTTCCCTCCAGGAAATATTTTGCGCTCTTATGAGGAGGCGAGTGTAGGTGCCATCTAGCCTCTGTTTAAGCTGCTTTTTCAAAGACCATGTCTCGGTACTGTATAGCAGGATACTTTCGACAGAGGATCGGAAGAAAGCAAGCTTGGTGGATTGAGATATGTTGGATTTCCAGATAGAGTGGAGTTTGTAGCACGCATTCCATGCTTGACCCTTGCGTGTGAGAACGTCCTTCTTGCTGTCAGCTATTTAGGGACCAAGATATTTGAAGTCTGGCACCTCTTTGAGTCGGGTGCCACCTGTAGAGAGGACAGGAGGGTGGTTTGGTGCCTCGTTAATGGTCACCAGCTCGGTCTTCTTAGCCCTCAAGAAAAGTCCAAATTTGGAAGCAGCACAAAGCTTTTGATGATATGCAAAATAGCAAAGGAATGAGTAACTGTTGTGTTTATAATGATTTTCTGTTGTGCACCATCAATTTGGGCAATTCAGAATACAGTGCGCCACCAAGAGTTTGCCATGGAGAGTTCATTTTTTCCAGTGCATTGTGGGAGATGGTCGACAAATTCGCAGCGCGGTGCATTTGAAATTGTTGTTTTTTTCCAGTCAGTTGTTTTGTAAGCGTATGATTCGGGTATATATGTGCCCTTCTCTTTTCTTTTTATCAATATGGTGTTTTTTTGTAAGGCGGCACAACGCCTCAGTCTGTAACAAATTAGCGCGAGTTGTCAACTGACACTCATTCAAAATGGGCTGTAATTTAAAAAATGGACTCTCCATGGCCAACTCTTGGTGGCACACTGCATCGTAAATTGCCCGAATTAAAAAAATCATGTACATGTAACTCAAACGTATTTTTGTTGACTACCAATCCGATTTGCTGGGTTGGGTCATATTTAAACAAAGAATTGCCGTTTCATGTACATAATAAAAACTAGATTTTACCAGTACATGCTCGTCAATCCTCCCGACAGATACTCAGTCATCACCCCAGAGACATGGCCCCAATGGCGGGGTGACGTCCGGTCTGGTATCAAGCATCTCATGAATGCCGTCAATATGGAACCAGACCAGTGGCAGCTGGGCAGAACCAAAGTCTTCATCAAGGCCCCTGAATCGGTAAGTCCCCCCACCCCCCTTGTCAATACCCAAGTCAGATGGGCAGTCATAACCTAAGAGACATGGCACCACTGGTGGGGGATGTCCAGTCGAGTATCAAGCATCTCATGATTGCAGTTACCGTAATGATATCGGAGTCTTATACAGCCCACGTATCTACCAGCAATTAGGTACTCAAGGCGCTGGAAATTATGTCTATGACTAGAGACAGGTAAATGAAGTTTATGAGAAATATGAAACCCATTATCTAGCACCTTATAAGGGTTTACAAGGTGCTGCGGCGCATATTGCAGCCACTGCCAGAAACACCGGGGTAAACCCCTTCTCTAAGCCATAAGCGTTACTGGGTTCTTTAACGTGCATTGCACAACACACGGGACCTACGGCTTTACGTCCAATCCGAAGGACGAAGAAGTAATGGTAAAGTGCCTTGCTTAAGAACACAAGCACCATGTTTCCCATCAGGATTTGAACCCATGTACCACGACACACAAGTCGAACACTAACCATTGGACCACAGCACCCCAAATAATCAGTAATTCTTTTTTTCATAAGAATCTTTAGGACGTCTTTATTACTTTCTTCATTTTCTCATCTTTTCTTCTCGTTTCTAGCTCTTTCTGCTCGAGGAACAACGAGAGAGGAAGTACGACCACTTCGCTCGCATCCTCCAGAAAGCCTTCCGTCGCTTCAATGCCCACAAACACTACCTACGACTCAAAGAACAAGGTACAATTAAAGGGAATATACAACATTTGCTTTTGCTGTTATTTTCAGAAATGGTTGGATTTTGAGGAGTTAGTATTTTATAGCAAATATTGTTACACTGACATGTTTAAAGTTTTGTGTTCGTAAATGCTGGAAAGACCAAGAAAAAAAAATCATGTTTCTTGTAGTCTAGTTCCCTGACCCCACTTCAGATGAAACAACAATTTATAGACACTGGGGATATTGTAAGGTCAGGGAGCCAGTCTTGATGGCTTTTACATGTTCACAGATGTGTAAAGATTGCAAACAAAAGTGGACTAACTATATTTGGTAAATGGGGGACAGTATTGGAAAATGCCAGTTTTTCCAACGATGGACGGCTGACCATCATTGGAAATTAATACAAAATTCCACCTTTCTTGAAAAAATGTTAGCTTACTAGGTGCCATGATTCCACATTATGCTTTAAACTTTCATTCACTTACAGTCAAGTGAGGTATTTAATAATAAGTTTTGTTTCCTAATGTTTTCAAATGTTGAATATTGCTAAAAACTATCACTTTTTCTTACCACATTTTTGTCTTCAACCGTATATATTTTTCTATTTCATTTTGCAAAATGTCTTGTTTATAAAGTATATGATTGAACAATTAAAACTAAAGACCAATTAAAATAACCAGTGAAGTTACTCATATAGCTGAGTTCACAAAATATTTGGGGTACGAACAGTTTTTATTGATACTCTCAGTTAGAAATGGTTAATTTTCCTCTGTGCACCTCCGGACAAACACATTCAACAGCTAGCCCTGAGTGGGTCTTATATCGGTCTGACTGGGCCGTATTTGGAAATACAAGTACTTGTACTCAGAAGTACTCGTACTTGTACTTGTACTTGTACTTGGTAACCAAAGTACTTGGCAGTGCTTGGTACCAGTGTTGTAGTCGAGTACTTTTTTCTGAGTACCGAGTACTGCCGAGTACTTAGATTGCTGAGTATGAGTACAAGTACGAGTACTTGTACCTCCAATTACAAGAACGGGTCTCCGAGTACAAGTACTTGTACTCGTACAAGTACTCGTACTCGTACTCGGAAGTACAAGTACTTGTACTTCCGAGTACGAGTACGAGTACTTGTACTTCCGAGTACAAGTACGAGTACGAGTCAGTACGAGTCAGTACGAGTACTCGTATTTCCGAATACGTCCATACGGCAAATGGTTCACTGTGCCTAATTGGCCCAGGCCCAGTCGACCGATATACAGACCCACTCACGGCTAACCGTAAAATGTGTTTGTCCGGACTTGCACAGAGAAAAATCAGGAAATCTTGATTTCTCCACAAGCCAGTCAACCATTTCAAACTGAAAGTATCGATAAAATAAGGTCATGGTAAGAGACGCTATAACATTTTCCTCGGCCGAGTACTGCTATTCGAGGACGAGTACTTTAATGATCGAGTACAATTTTGACATGTCGAGTACGAGTACTTTGCTGCCCGAGTACGAGTACCGTCATTTCGAGTACGAGTACCGAGTACGAGTACTACAACACTGCTTGGTACTTGGAAAAAAGTACTCGACTACAACTCTGCAGGAAGGAAGGAGGGGGTGTGTCCTACCTGCACCCCAGACCATTTTAGGATTAAAGCAAAGTAATCAATGTTACTTTATCTGTCTTTTTCTTTTTTGCAGCATCTGATCTGCTGTACAACAAGAAGGAGCGACGACGATACAGTCTCAATCGCAACTTCGCCGGCGACTACATCGGGTTTGAGCACAATCCTTTGCTGCAGGCGCTGACCCAACGCAGGGAACGCGTCGAGTTCTCCGACAAGGTCAACAAGTATGATCGCCGCTTCAAGGTAAATATTTTGGTTTATGGCTTCTCTAGAGTTTGGTTTATGGCTTCTCTAGAGTTTGGTTTATGGCTTCTCTAGAGTTTGGTTTATGGCTTCTCTAGAGTTTGGTTTATGGCTTCTCTAGAGTTAGTTTATGGCTTCTCTAGAGTTTGCTTTATGGCTTCTCTAGAGTTTGCTTTATGGCTTCTCTAGAGTTTGGTTTATGGCTTCTCTAGGGTTTGGTTTATGGCTTCTCTAGAGTTTGGTTTATGGCTTCTCTAGAGTTTGGTGTATGGCTTCTCTAGAGTTTGGTTTATGGCTTCTCTAGAGTTTGGTGTATGGCTTCTCTAGAGTTTGGTTTATGGCTTCTGTAGAGTTTGGTTTATGGCTTCTGTAGAGTTTGGTTTATGGCTTCTCTAGAGTTTGGTTTATGGCTTCTCTAGAGTTTGGTTTATGGCTTCTCTAGAGTTTGGTTTATGGCTTCTCTAGAGTTTGGTTTATGGCTTCTCTAGAGTTTGGTTTATGGCTTCTCTAGAGTTTGGTTTATGGCTTCTCTAGAGTTTGGTTTATGGCTTCTCTAGAGTTTGGTTTATGGCTTCTCTAGAGTTTGGTTTATGGCTTCTCTAGAGTTTGGTTTATGGCTTCTCTAGAGTTTGGTTTATGGCTTCTCTAGAGTTGGTTTATGGCTTCTCTAGAGTTTGCTTTATGGCTTCTCTAGAGTTTGGTTTATGGCTTCTCTAGAGTTTGGTTTATGGCTTCTCTAGGGTTTGGTTTATGGCTTCTCTAGAGTTTGGTTTATGGCTTCTCTAGAGTTTGGTTTATGGCTTCTCTAGAGTTTGGTTTATGGTTTCTCTAGAGTTTGGTGTATGGCTTCTCTAGAGTTTGGTTTATGGCTTCTGTAGAGTTTGGTTTATGGCTTCTGTAGAGTTTGGTTTATGGCTTCTGTAGAGTTTGGTTGATGGCTTCTCTAGAGTTTGGTTTATGGCTTCTCTACAGTTTGGCTTACTAATAAATTGACCTTCTGAAATTTAAAATATTTTGACAGAAAGACTACCTGCTAAATTTTTTTTAGAATTCTAGAGTTTTTTAAAGCATTCGTGTATTTTAGGTCTGATTCAGTTCTTTAGACTCTTTGTGAATATATCATTGGAACAATACAGGGTGAGTAAACAAATTAAATCCATATGGTAGGACCAATTTTTCAATGAAGTTTTGCCTGTAACACTTTCAAAATCTAGGATATGAAAGCCCAGTCATTAAGCTTTCTTTTAGTACAAGAATCATTCCAATCGCTCTTGTACTTTTCAAGTTGCGAAATTCTGAACACAACCACCATTTTAAAGTTCTGTCCACGGATCACACAAAAGGTGTGTGTTCTTTCAGCAAAACGAAAAGAATTCACACACATGTTACGTGATTTGTTTTCGTGTTGCTGAGAGAACACTGAACTTTTTTGTGATCCGTTGACAGAACCTTAAAACGGCGGCTGTGCTTAAAACTCTGTTACTTGAAAAGTACATGAGTGATTTGAATGATTCTTGTACTAAAAGAAAGCTTAGGAATTGGGCTTTCATAGCCTAGGTTTTGAAAGTGCTACATTCAGAACTTCACTACAAAAATGGTCCCGACATTTGGGTTTCGTTTTTTTTTACTCACCCTGTATTGCGCTAATGTTCATATTTGTTCTGCTTGAATGCTGAAGCCAGATTTCGCAATGTTGTGGTCAACTTCTACAAACTTTGAAATGCGTGTTAACCGTAGTAATCACGAATGTCCTCATTTCGCAGGTGACGAAGCGCGACTTGCTACTGTCGGCCCGCAACATCTATCTGATTGGTCGAGAGAAGGTCAAGAGCGGACCGGAGAAAGGACAGATCAAAGACGTCATCAAACGCAAGATTCCCCTCGAACAAGTTCAGAGCGTATCACTCAGGTAAGATGACATCGCACACAAAGCTACAGTCCATCAATATCAAAAATTCTGATAATTTATTTATTAAACTAATATCGATTATATCGAATATAATTTACAGCACCTGTTGTTGTTGTAAGTGAATTTTGTGCTGGCAAGGCAAACATGTGGCGGGCTGACACAAGTACGGCAGTGACTGTCAATATGTTGAGGCTTGGCCAGTGACATCCTGGAGCAGTACAGAGGATTTCAAGCATATTCCAGGCCTATATTTATGCGTGGCATAGCAAAAACAACACAAGGTCCAGCCCAAGACCTTGACAATTGAGCTTTTATATCCTAGATTTTGAAAGTGCTACATGCAGAACTTCACTAAAAGTAAAACAATGGTCCCGACATTTGTGTTTCGTGTTTTTTTACTAAGCCGGTATAGTTTTTTGATATGAAACATATTTCTTTGTTTTTAGGTTCTGCTTTTTTGACTCACACTATATATTGGAATCGTTTCATTTTTTTCCCTTTCCAGTACCTTGCAAGATGATATCTTTGTCCTCAACATCCAGAACGACTTCTCGAGTCTCCTGGAGTCCGTCTTCAAGACGGAATTCCTGACAGTACTCAGCAAGAAATACCGTGATGCGGCGGGGCGTGAGCTCCAGCTTGACTTCCGCGACACGTGAGTGGGATCTTTTCTCGTCCAAGGAAGATTTCATCTTCTCTGCTAGGTTCTCTGGACTATTCTAATCCTTGGAAGTTTTGACATGCATGACATGTGATCGTGGAGTGCAGTGGCCTCGTGGTTAAGGGCATTGGATTTGTGGTCTGCGGGTAAAGCTGCAGGTTGTGGGATCGAGTCAAGCCTGGGGTTGTGGTACGTGTGCCCTTGGGCAAGGCACTTTGTCACTCATTGCTTCTCTCCACCCAGGAGTAAATGGGTACCTGTGAGGGCAGAGATGGTTATTATGATTGAATTAGCTTCCTTGCGCTTGACAGGCAGCATCGAGCTGTATACTCCCCAGGGAGCTGAGATGGTCTTTGGAATGTTTCATTGGCCCAATGAGCAGGGTAATAATGATGTAGCGCCTTGAGCACCAGTCCTGGTGGATACGTGCGCTTAATAAATACCCATTATTATTATTTTGTTTTGGGGGGTTTTATTTTTGATATTTCTTTTCTTTTTTTTCTGGTATACTTCTTTCGGATTCTAGGATTAACGTCATTGTGAAGAAGGAAGGTTGGGGTGGTGGGGGAACCAGGACAGTTCGTTTTGCGCAGGGTACCGGCAACATGGCTGTCATGAAACCCAGCGGTAAAGTCATGACGGTCAGTATAGGACCTGGACTCCCAAGAAACTCACGTAAGTTGTTGGAAATCGTTCTTTTTGAATTTGTTTCCCTATATTTTATTGGAGATCCTTATTATGTGGAGCACCATGGTCCATGGTTATAGTGTCTTACTTGCAATGGTGGATGATCGGAACCCTCAGTGGAACCTGGTTTTTGTGTTCTTGGGCAAGACACTTTACGACAATCACCTCTCTTTGACTCTTGTGCGATGGTATGTGGGTTTGAAATCTGACAAGGAACATGGTTTTTGTGTTTTTGGGCAAGACACTTTACGACAAATGCCTCTCTTCGACTCACGTGCGATGGTTTTTTAGTCCGATATCTGACAAGGAACATGGCTTTTGTGTTCTTGGGTAGGACACTTTATGACAATCGCCTCTCTTCGACTCATGTGTGATGGTTTTTTAGTCCGATATCTGACAAGGAACATGGTTTTTGTGTTCTTGGGCAAGAAACTTTACGACAATCGCCTCTCTTTGACTGATGTGCGATGTTACCTGTACGTAGGTACGAAATCTGATGAGGAACATGGCTTTTATGTTCTTGGGCAAGACACTTTACGACAATCGCCCCTCTCTGACTCATGTGCGATGGTATTTGGGTTTAAAATCTGACAAGGAATATGGCTTTTGAGTTCTTGGGCAAGACACTTCACGACAATCGCCTCTCTCTGACTCATGTGCGATGGTTTTTGGGTTCGAAATCTGACGAGGAACAAGGCTTTTGTGTTCCTGGGCAAGACACTTTTCGACAAACGCCTCTCTGTGACTCATGTGCGATGGTTTTTGGGTTCGAAATCTGAGGAGGAACAAGGCTTTTGTGTTCCTGGGCAAGACACTTTACGACAATTGCTCTCTTTGACTCATGTACGATGGTATGTGGGTTTGAAATCTGACAAGGAACATGGTTTTTGTGTTCTTGGGCAAGACACTTTACGACAATCTCCTCTCTTTGACTCATGTGGGATGGTATGTGGGTTTAAAATCGTACAAGGAACATGATTTTTGTGTTCTTGGGCAAGACACTTTACGACAATCGCCTTTTTGTGACTCATGTGCGATGGTACAAGGAACATGCTTTTTGTGTTCTTGGGCAAGACACTTAACCACAATATCCCCTCGACCGGTTGTAAAAACTGGTTGCCTGTGAGGATCGAGACTAGAATACAACAGTCTCAAACTGCTGCTGAAATATAGTTTCATGGCCTGATGAACAGGGGTAATAATTGCGAAGTGCCTTTAGACATTTGTATAAAGCGTTTTTAGTATAAAACAACTTCAGTCCATGCAATTTGGAATTATACAATTTTTTATTTTTTTCAATTTTTTTTTGGATATTTTATAATCGATTTGGATTTCATCAGTCATATCCCGAATGACCTTTGACCTTTGCCCTCAATACCCAGGACCTGGGATCAGACAGACCCAGGTGACAGGGGCAGACAGAGCCAATGCCGCACCCATGGGCAATGGTCCCCCACGGAGAGCCCCCGGGAAAGCCCCCGGGCGTCCCCCACCATCTGCGTCATACGCCCAGGTGGACAAGCAGCGAAGGTCCCCCCAGACGTCACCCCAGCACAGTAAGTCGGTCTCTGAATTATTTTCCCTAATTCAAATTCTCGGTTTTAATACTCAAATGTTCCCTCGGAGTGATAGATTTGGCAGGATTTATTGTCAGGATTTTCCTGGATTTCAGGATTTTCTTGGGCAGGACACTTTACGACAATCGCATCTCTGTGACTCATGTGCGATGGTTTTTTAGTTCGATATCTGACAAAGAACATGGCTTTTGTGTTCTTGGGCAGGACACTTTACAACAATTGACTCTCTTCTTGTCAGATTTGGAACCGTAACAGAACTCAACCCATCAAACCCCAACGGCATGTTTTGTAGGAATCTGCCAGGATGGGTACAGTACCCCTAAACTGACAGTCTTTTACATTGGGTTGGCACACCTCCAGAATCAAAGTCAGAAATATGTGTGTGCAGTTTCCCATATGGTGTTGGAATTTGCCAGGATGGGTATGGTTCCTAGTAAATCATGCTAGGGAGTTTAAAGAATCCCTTTTACCATGTTTACAGGCATGCAACTTTTCCTCCGATCTGCTGATTTCCTCGGGGTTTTTTTTTTACTTCTCATTAATGCCATTACAAATTGAAAAACACTGTACAACGTCTTATGTGGTTTGGAATTTCCTCGGTTTTTCTACATTTTTAAAGAATCCCTTTTGCAGGCATGCAACTTTTCCTCCGATCTGCTGATTTCTTTGGTTTTCTTTACTTCTCATGAATGCCATTACAAATTGAAAAACACTGTACAACGTCTTATGTGGTTTGGAATTTCCTCGGTTTTTCTAAATTTTTAAAGAATTCCTTTTGCAGGCATGCAACTTTTCCTCGGATCCGCTGATTTCCTCGGTTTTCTTTACTTCTCATTAATGCCATTACAAATTGAAAAACACTGTACAACGTCTTATGTGGTTTGGAATTTCCTCGGTTTTTCTAAATTTTTAAAGAATCCCTTTTGCAGGCATGCAACTTTTCCTCGGATCTGCTGATTTCCTCCTTTTTTTTTACTTCTCATGAATGCCATTACAAATTGAAAAACACTGTACAACGTCTTATGTGGTTTGGAATTTCCTCGGTTTTTCTACATTCCTAGTTGCATGTCTGCTTTTGAAATTGGAAATTCCTGAGGTTTTACCGTAACAGTGTTTGTACCTTTTTATAAAAGTTAAAATGCAGGGTGAGTCAAAAAGAAGGTGGCTGAACTTGAAAAATATTTGTAAAATATTTGGCTTGCTCCATTTCCTGAAAAAAAGTGATAAAGTACACCTTATTGACTTGTGTCACTGAAAATTTCAAGTAATTTGCATACTCTATTCCCAAGTTATGTGTCGGCCCAAGATCTTGACACAGTGCATCCTCCAAAATCAGCCACACATTTTTGCCATGTAGCCTCAATCCTGCAAAATCCTCCATTTTGCAAAGAGTATTTTGGAGGATTTGGGGAGATTTCAGCAAATTACAGTTCAAAAGACATGTCCTGTCAAATACTTTTAAAATAGGATAATAAATTACCAGAAAAACAAATATGTTGAAAGTGTACTTTCGAAATTATAATCCAAAACCCTTGAAAAATGAGCTCACTGCGAATATTCTTCAATTTCCAAACATCCATTTCAAGCAGAAACATTTACTAAGTTAACAAGTTCGCGCTGGGATTATTTTTGCCAAAAATTACGCTTTTTCGAAAAGAGGCAAGATGTAGCAGCCAGCTTCTGATATACAGCCAAACGCCACAAATACTGATTCGCAAGAGTCATTTCAACAGTAATTGTATGATATTTCTTACCGCAACCTCATATTTTGCAACACTCGGAGGTGTGCCCACGAGCGTAAATTGTACCAAAACAGGCCGTGCACAGTGGCCAAGTTCAAGTACAGCAAACGGTCTGCCTCCACAGACTTCTCAGACTTTGCGTGTATGTACAACACAAACGGGGATTAGCACGTTTAGGCACGCTTGATGTTTAAACCCATTAGCCGTGCCTGTGTATAAAAACAGCCAGATCGTGTTAACATGTCATCCGACGCGAACCGAGGCGAAGTTGTTAGAAAAGTTTGCTTTAACAGAAAAGGCAACCCGCAAAAAGGCATGAGATGTACTCGTATTAGCCTCAAATTGCTATCACCTCATTTTTGACCGCAACGATAAATTATAATCCTGTGAAAACCAGCTTCAAAGAAGTCTTCATAAAAACCATCGTTCAGTTCCCCTAACCCCAACCACAAGTCCTTCCGTAATTCACCAAGGATTGCCGAATTTCCTGGTGTCAACGCCAACCGGCAACTTATCCAAACCGCGGTCATAAGAGGAAACATTTTCATAGACCACTTCCTCGGTTGTACTGGAAAGTCAAAATGTGAACAATCGTGGAGCATCGCCGATCTGGGGGATTTGCGGGTGTTAAAACCGTAATGCCCCTTCCGACCCTTCCATTTCCACGTAAAAAGAACAGACATGAAATTTGACTTTCGTCTGTAAGATTTGAGGCTTTGCATGGTGAAGATACTAATGAATGAAAGGTTTGCTTCCGGAAACACCATGTGGGAATATTTTCTCAAACTAAGAGAATGGTTCTGAAAAGAACCAGAGGTATAAACTCGACGTTCCAGTCAGTATGCTCTGACCGTCTTCAGGAGAGTGCCTAAACTCTTTAAAGTAAGCACATAAGTACCAAATGACTTTTGGGTTTTTTGTAGGAGGTTCCCTAATTGTAGAAATGTTCATGATTAAGATAAGGTCATCAAAAACCGAGCTGTTTAAAATTGTCAGTAAAGTTTTGTCGGATCCCATCCGCTCGAGAGAGGAATTTTTTTGAAAGGTAGCTCACTCCACTGATCAACTTTGATCAAATTACCACTTCCAATAATCAGAGGGCTATTTAAGGACCACGCTAATTTGCAGCTGTTAAAATGGGTAATTGGAGAGTCCAAAATAGTTACAGAGAATTTCAAGAAGATTTTCGACAGCCGGATGAGAGTTCTTCCCAAAAATAGTTCTGTTGGAAATTTTTTGCCTATTTTTTTAGGGTAGATGTTTAATTCAGTATCCTGTCAGCAGTTTATGACATTATCATTTTTGTATTTATTCTTAACCCACATTTGGATTTTTTGTGTTACACAGTGCTTCCTGTGCTTACTGGGCTAGCATAGAATTTTTCTGCTAGCGCGGTAAGCACCAAATGTTGATCTTAATTCTGTGGTTAGCAGGGCCCTGAAATTTGGCCCTGGAGTGTCCAAATGAGATGAGATAAAGACCATTGTGTAGAGTATTTACTACACCTTCAGACTCTATAGATACGTTTTGCAAAGAAGGTGCTAGTAATTTTAATACTTCAATGGATTGACTGCTAATTTTTTATTGAACATGCTGTACTTTTTTATATGTGACTGTATGTAACGTACGTTCATAGCCTATTGCCGGTGTAGTCACTTGGGGGTTACTTGCTGCACATGCGCAGTGTGAGACATCCACTGGTCTTCGCGTGTTGGCGACATTTTACCAACATATGCTTGCGCTATGGTGGCATAAAATGTCCAAAATTTCCATTATGTGAGTTTTCCCAAAGTTATACCCCGAAAAGATATACATGTACTCAAAATAAGTTTCCAATAAAACTCACCATATAATCAACTGGGCTATATTTTTTAAAAGGAAAATTCGTTGCTTTCTTTTTGCCATGAAAATTAACCGTGAATCACATTGCATAAAGAGCAAATTACTAATTGTGAATAGGAAAAATGTAGCTCCCTATTTATCACCGGGACGGGAACATTGACGTTGCTGGCTTCACTTCCATAGGTCTCACTTATTCCTAAAAACTCCGATTTTTGAGGGAAAACAAGTTAAATATCGTAATCAACGAAAAAATCATTGCATGCGAAAAGACTACTACATCATTTGGAATACGGAGCATCAATAGACCTATTGAAACATAAATTAGAGTAAGAAAAGACTGATTATGTTGCGCCGCATTTCAGCCTTATTAAGGGAAAACGGCTGATGTTGTCGAGTGGGATACCTGGGCACAATAGACAAAATGCTAGGCACGAACATACGTGATGCAGTCTTGAATAAACATACATGTACATGAATTCTCTACATTTTGTCCCTTTTGTACTTTTTGTTCACTAGTTGACTTTTGGTTTAACACCGCGAAGGGCAACGCTCAATTGTTTACTTAGTTCTCGTCTTTCGTTTCTCAAATATTGAGCAGCACAATGCGGACACTTGTAAACCCACCCCCTTTCCATAAAACTCTAATTGCTCTGTAAAATTATCAGTGGTTTACTTTCCCCGAGTGAATGTTGTGTCACATGACCACAACATGAACGTTTGTAAACAAGTTTCACATGACCTATAAGGTTCCTTTCCGCCATCGACCGGACTGAAATTCTTAGCCCATAACTCAATTTCCCTCCGCGCAGTGTCTGAACTAAGGTCTGGTACCGGTCTCTAACATGACTCACACATCAAATGTAATTTGCAGTTTCCCCCTCCTTCAAGGAAGGAGAATCTCTAGATTTTTCTTCTTCTCTGAGAGTTGTGACTCAGTGCATGGCATTGCGACACTGATGAACGAGAACTGGAAGCAACTGTGAGTTTGTGAAGGTTGCCCTTTGAAAGGTTCCCATGGTTACGTGTCATTGTGTTTATCTAGTAAAAATTATGCAAATCGATCCCAACTTCTCCACGCTGTGTGTGTAGACAGGCAACTGATGGGTTATTTTTTGTATTACTGGCCTAACCCTCCCACTGTTTGAACAGTCACAGACAGTCAAACATTCCATCCACTTCCCCTGCCATGCCTTTTACACAGGCTAGTCACTAACAGTCAGATCATATTTCAAGCAAGCACTCTGACTAGTCAAATTCAGTCAAGCAGGCAACTGGTACGCACAGCTGTCTTATCAATCACCTACAGTCAAAGCATAGCTGCATCAAGTTACAGGAACAGTCCCAGCCAGTCAATCCTGCTTTATGTAGGCTGGGAGCTCTTAACTGTTGAAAACAGTCATTTGATTGATTTGGACTGAAAGGATTTGTTTGCATAGGAGGGCTAATCAACATTTATTGTTCATTTGTGCAAATACCTTTTTATAAATTTCTATGGCACGTGATTGTCACATGATCGTCACATGATTTGCACAGATACATGTAATCGTTCCGATGGCACATGATTGTCACATGATCGTCACATGATTTGCTCGGATACATGTAATCGTTCCGATGGCACATGATTGTCACATGATCGTCACATGATTTGCACAGATGTACATGTAATCGTTCCGATGGCACATGATTGTAACATGATCGTCACATGATTTGCATGGATCCATGTAATCGTTCCGATGGCACATGATTGTCACATGATCGTCACCTGATTTGCTCAGATACATGTAATCGTTCCGTTGGCGTTTGTACGTAGTGACTGTACCTTTGCAAGTTTTGAAGATTGCAACTTCAGAAATACTTCATCAATAGAGTAACCAATACGAATTAGATACATTTCAATACTTCAAACTATACACCAACCGAACATTGTGTAAGAAGGGGCGATTTTATCACTAAAACCATGCAACATGTATGCGAAAACTCAATATGCGCCAGAATTTGCAAACTTCATTTGCGAACTTCATGTAAAAAGACACTAAAAGTTGAAGAACATTTTGGGTAAGGTAAGTAAACGTGAATTCACAAGTTGCAACATTGGTTGGTTCAGTATGTTTTTTATAAAATTGTAATTTTCAAAAAACAAAAAGTTGCATTTTAGTCAAAAATGTACTTCAGTAACTTTTGGGGGCACATCCCCCCATGACAAATTCAAAGTTCAGGGTCATTTTTTTTTTTTTTCAATTGACAAGTTCTAATTCGACAGATTGATTAATCGTTTCTCGTGTTCAAAGATTATTTCTCAGATAAATATTTTTTTTGATTGATGACTGAATCTTAGCAAATCGCCACCATCAATTATTTGTGTCAGTTTTGGGGTGAAATTACATTTTGATAAATTTGTTTTTATTTTTGTTGTTTGTGATTTACGAGCGTTGCTTTTTTCCCTAATTATCATTTATAGACCGTTATCATGTTGAGGCCATCTTGATTTTTCCCACTCAAATCAACGTAACCAAATCGAGGTTGGAGGACAAAATAGTCTGGTTTCTTTTTGCAAAAAAAAAAAACATCATTCAGTACTGTTATTGGATACAGGGAACATGACTGAAATGGTGGCAGCATGATGAAGGTCTATAGAATTTCTTCTTGAATACAGTCGAACCTGATTACAAGAGCACTGTTAATACAACATCCTGCTTATAACAAGGAAAATGTTAGGCCCCACGTCTTTGTTTTCCTTTGTTTTCCATTACTGTTAGTACAAGGTACCTGTTATAACAAGGTAATTTGTAAAGTCCCAAGGACCTTGTTATAAAGGTGTTCGACTGTAAGGCCAAAAAAATAAAATAAGTCGGTCTCTGGTCAGCTCGCGCGTCGATTTTAATCATGCGCGTTGATCTTTTTTTTTTTCAAAAATGTTCCGCGGTAGCTCAACAGCGCCCTCTATTTCCGCACCTCCTCATTTTTTTTACCAAAGAGCACCAAGGAATGGGAAATTGCACCAAGGCAAATGATCGAAAGCACCAAGGCAAATTATGGAGGACACCAATGTACATGAGGACACCAAAAAAGCAAAATAGTACCCACCTTGTCTGTACAATCCGAGCTTGAAGAAAAAACAAAACAAAAACAAAAAAAAAACAAGCCGCGTGGCCGCGTCAATTCCGGAACTTTGGTCTGACCAGAGACTGAATATTTATTTTTTTTGGCCTAATCAAGTGTTTTTAAATTGGTAGTTTTCCAGCAATACAAACATTTTTGCTCTTGAATGGGATATAAATAAAGGGCCATATTTAACAATGGAATTAATTACTTCACAAAAATGTGATTAATTTGGATTTCTCAAAGAATTAATACCGGTATCTAATACATGTGATCAATGGGTTGCTAGTTCAAACTATTTGTGGACTTTGCAGAACCGATGAGACGCTCCAGCCGTCGCATGAGCGGGGATCACCCGTCGCTACCTAAGGGCGGAGCAGCCAAGTGGGCCAAGAATCCAAAGATGGCTCATCTCAATACGGCATTCCTACAAACCCCGGACGCTGGGGTAGCAGGGTAGGTAGCCGCTAAGAAGGCCTTGAACAGTCTCCATGGAAATACAAGTGTCGCAAAGCAGCAACGACCCACCGTGAGGGCGCTCAATGCAAATGGTCTACAGTATGTCCCCTCAAAAGTGTCTCTCTGACTATTTTGAAATAACTACAAAACCATGAAGTCAATTTTGAAAGTTGTTGATCGCGCAGATACTCCTAATCCTTGGCCTCAACCCTGATGAGTTTCATTTAATTTCAGTCACGCATCACTACACAATTGATCACAGCAACATTTTTGGACACTGACTAAGTTCCTTGCCATAATCCATTTCAGTGCCGTGTTATGTAAGCTGTGTAAAATCCTGCTAGTTGTGAAAAAGGATCACAATTGTGGATTGGAAACATTTGCCTGGCTATCAGTCATCATGGCAAGACCTCAGTTTAATGCTCAAGGGCAAAAGATTCAACATCAGCATTTTTGTCCACAACATTGTAAAGTGGTAAGACGTCTAGTTGCACTAGTAATCGCAAGTCGCAAGTTTCATGAAATGCTTCGTGAAATCGGGTGCAGTACACATGAAATAATGTCAGTGTGGAGCAAAATTCATATCTACTTCTTCGTTTGCTTCTTTTTCCTTTTTTTCCCCCAAGGTTCAAGAGACAGTCCCTGAAGAGACCCCCAGCCCAGCCCAAGCCCAAACCCCTCCCTAAGCCCAAGTTGCCCAAGTGCCGAACCCTGTATGCCTACGACGCCCAAGATACTGAAGAGCTGTCGTTTTCCCCCGGCGAAACGATCGAGATCATGAACGAAGGTGAGAAAACAGAAATTACCGTTTCAAGATTTTGTTTATGATTCATGTTTTGTGAAAACAGAAATTTGCTTAAAGGGCCATTAACTTAATTTTTTTAAAGCAATCCTTAAAAGTGCATGTTAATGCTCATTTCCATATTCATGAGCAAAACTGTGATGTCATTTCAGGCAGGAAACCTCAATGTTGCAGATATTTCAGAACAGAAAGTTAAAGGGGCACTGCGTCCTGAAGTCCCAGAAAATTTCATGTTTTGAATCGTTTACTTAGCCTATTTCAAACATCTGGTTGAAAGGAAACCAACCTAATGTCTTACTGTTCCCGAGAAAAGACGAAAAAAAACCCGTTGTTTACATCGGCCATGACGGAGTACGAATACGTTTTTCGTGTCGTTCTCATGCAGTGTACGATATACACATTGTGTGTCTCGGGAACAGCGGTGACCAATCACCAATGCAAAAAAATATGGTTTCTTCAACATCCGCCAAAGGCAAACACTTTACGAATGAAATCACAACTAGCATCCAAACAGCTTGAATTTATGGGGTCGGAAAAGTGGACCCCGAAATTTGTTTCGCATGCATAATACAGGAATAACACAAAAACGCCCAGTTTTTAAAGGATAGTTGTGTGGATGTTTATACCCTACTTTTAAAGGTTCTTTCCGATTAACATCATCTCGTTCAAAGCGCGTTTTGTAGCCCAATTGGGCTGTTCCAGGACCCAGTGTCCCTTTAAAAGAATTATGGATATTTCACTGTCGTAAATCTTCTTGTCTTTGGTGATTCGTTGTTGTGTCGGTACATGGCAGTATTAACCAATGAGCAAACTTTTCTCACAAATGTTTTCACTGAGCACATTTTTGGGTTCACATTCACAACAGAAAAACCTTAAACTTACAGTGTCTTCCAGAAACACAGTAACAGCAACCTCAGTTTGCCGGAAAAGCATGAACAATTTTTTAAGTGTTTAAAAAAGTGCATTTTGGAATATAATTCATCAAAAAGGTATGTCAAATAGTTGTCATACATTTAAGTGTAGAAAAGTTGCACAAAATATGTTCCTTAGAAAAAAATCACTTCATGGGCACCTTAGGTGCAAAATATATTTGCTTTAATAGCCTAAATTGATGACCAGTTGTGACTTTTCTCTTTTTCTAGTTCCTTCTAGATGTTTTTCAAATGTAAATCCCAGAGGGTATAGGTTGCTCGCAAATGGCTTATTGCCGTATTTTATGTGTTCTTTTTTTTTCTTGTACAACGGTACAAACTCTAGTTTTTCTTGTTTTTCTTCTCTTTTTCTAGATTCTTCAGGATGGTGGCGAGGCAGGCTGGGACGTAGGGAAGGCCTCTTTCCTTCCAACTACATTGAGAAGATTTAACCGATATCTCCCATTTGTAAATGTTATCATTAGCGCTAAGTTACAGAGATCTTTGTTACTGTGGAAGCCATCTTGGTCTAGTACCCCGTAGGCATGGCATTGCCGTATATAAGGGTTTAGATGATGGCACCAGTCCATAGTTGAGCTTAGTCTCAGTGTGGTCCAAAATTTCTGTGGTGAATAAAGCTTGCTACATTTTGATCAAGGTTAAAGTGAACAAAGTTGCTTAACGGTAAAATATTCTTAGCAAATTTAACACATGTTACAAATGAGTTTGTGCACTTACATGCACAAAGGTATACGACTTGTCTTTCAAAAATTTATTAAATTTCAAATCAAATAATCAAATCTTGAATTTAAGTGATCAGGGGTTGATCATAATTAGGGGTGTGCATCGGAACCGGGTTTTCTAGTTCCCGACCACAGATGTCAGGAACAGGTTCCAGATTATGGGATCTGGTACCCATAACCAACTGGTATAGCTTCTCAGACTGCAACAAAAAGAAATGTTGTGAATGTCATTTGTGGGGACTTTTCAAAATGAAAATCGAGCTACATGGAAAAACAAAACAGACTTCACGTTTATGCGCATTTTAACGCGCAACAGATGCTCGCAAAAGTTGCAGTTTTCACTTAAAAGCTATAATTAAAGGGGCATTACGGCCTAAAATCCCCGTAAATTTCATGTTTTGGATTGTTTACTTGTACTGTTTTAAAGGTCTGGTTGAAAGGAAACTAACCTAATGTCTTACCGTTCCCGAGAAAAGACAAAAAAAAAAACCGGTTGTTTACATCGGATGCGGCGGACATACGCATATGTATTTCCAGTTGTTTCTATCAGTGTACGGTACACATTGTGTGTGTGTCTCACGTAATATTCGCAGCACCAGTATACCACATCTTGTTCCATAGTTGTGGGGACAAACACTCGTCTGTACGAGGTATTTGTGGGGATCGAAAACGCTGTGGGGACAGCAGAAAGTCCCCATAACTCGGTCCTAATTTGCCTAACAATAAAAAACTTCCACATAACGCGGTGTCGGCCTGCCCACAAATGTTGTTTCTTACAAGTCTGAAGAATACGTACCACTGGGTGGCTGGATTCACTACTAGCAAAATGTTGACCCTGAAAATCGTTCTCGCACGGTTCTCACAAGAAAAACACAAAAAATCTGCCAAGTTTCTTAAATCTTTCAGTGCCTGCGAAATTTTAAAAGTTTAACCCTAAAGTGCCCAACTTCGAACTTTTTTTTTTAATTGTTGAAAATTCTGTGAGTTTTACTCACTAAATTTGTTGTTGTTGCTCTCTGGTATATCCTTGGTACATTAGAAAGTCGATAGTAGTCATATACATTGTGATACACCCTGAAACACTGTCCTGCACACCAGGGGAATTCTGCACTTTTTGCAGAAAATACGAGTCAGCGCTGCACCCTCTCGCAAGAACTCAAATGAAACAAATAAATACAGGTCGTACCTGAATGAAAATGATATTGTTAGAAAGAGCGAGAGCGCCCCCTTGTGATAACATGCTTACTCTACCTCGTACATGTACGAGGTTTGGCGATTTTTATTACGAACATTACCTCGTACATGTACGAGGTTGGCACTTCGAACTAACAAATATACCTCGTACATGTACGACTTTGGCACTGAAAGAGTTAAAAGGATGGTTGTGTGGACACTTATACTCTACATTTAAATGCTCTTTCCATTTAATATCGTTTGGTTTCAAAGATGTTTAGTAGCCCAGTTGGGCGCATTACCGGCCGTAATGTCCCTTTAAGCCCTTCAGACCCTTCAGACAACTTCCAGGGTTGGAATTTTGGGGCTGGGTTTCTTTTACGGATACCCAGGTACCCGGTTTTACTTCAATTGGATACCCGGTCCCCATACTACCCGTAAATGCACACCACTAATAAAACAAACTTGTGCCTTAGTGATAAAAAGCAATTTAAAAAAATTGTTTTTTATAAAGACATTTATTTCAGATTATTAAAGGGAATGTACATCATTGGCTTTTGCTGTAATTTTCAGAAATGAACTATTTGAGGGGTTAGTATAATAGATCAAATATTGTTACACTGACATGTTTGAGGTTTTGTGTTCAAAAATGCTGGAAAAGCCAAGAAAAACAAAAATGTTCAAGTAGTCTGGTTCCTTGACTCCACTAAAGATAAAATGGATCAAATTATAGATGCCAGAAAATTTGTAAGGTAAGGGAACCAGTCTAGCTGGCCTGCACCCGTTCATGAACATGTAACCAATAGCAAACAAAATTTGGACTGAAAAAAAGTGTAAAGTTGGAGCAGTAGTTGAAAAATAGTTATGTTTTTCCCAACGGTGGTCGGCCTTGGAAATGTATACAAAAATAGCATTTTCTTGAAAATGACTTCACACCAGGTGCCATAATTTAACAGGATGCTTTAGACTGTCATTTAAAAACTTGGTAGTTTTTTTTTTTGATGTTTGCAAATGTTGTATGTTCCCTTTAAATAAAGACTTCAAAATTTGCATGGTTAATAATCGCTGTTTGAAAGAGTTTTACAAATACTGAACAAAGTTCTCCACTTGGGAGCGACAACTAATACTGTGCGACTTCCTCCACTGAAGCAACAGACAATGCGCTTCCTGGAGGGGTGTGAGTCAGGAGAGGTCATTCCAGGTCAAAGTTCATAGGTTATAGCAGGCAGCTTGTTTTACTATTGTGCTCGAGGCATAGTCAGATCTGTCACATCGGTAAAACACATCCAGGAAAAGGATGTGAATTCTTCGACAGTGCTTGCGCCTCTTACATGAATATGTGAGAACATTTTTGTCCACTTGTGTGTGTGGATAAGTGTTCTAGCTGTGAGCTACAAAGAAGAAAATCTTTTTTGCTGATCTCCAAAAATGTAATGCATCAATAAAACATTGTTTGAAATTCTGAATATTGGCTGGATGTTATGTAGTGAAAGTGGCACTGTTTTGTGACAAGTAAGAGGAATTAAAGCAACATATTTTTGTTTGCAGTTATGTGAACAGAGCGTGGAAAGACAGAATCATGTGGAAAGATACATAAAGAAGAATCTTTAAAGGGAATATACAATATTTGCTTTCGCTGTAACTTTCAGAAATGGATGGATTTGGAGGGTTAGTATTTTATAGCAGTTATTGGTATACGGACTTGTTTGAAGTTTTGTGTTCGTAGATGCTGGAAAAATTAAGAAAAACAATCATGTTCTTGTAGTCTGGTTCCTTGACCCCATTTAAGACGAAACATAGTCGTCGGTGAATTGTAAGGTCAGGGAATCAGTCTAGCTTGCTTGTACCCATTCATAGGAGTGTTATCGATTGCAAACAAAATGCGGACTAAATATGGTAAATTGGGGGCAGTATTTGAAAAAAGCCAGTTTTTTTCCAACGCTGGTTAGCCGACCAGTGTTGGAAATTGATACAAAAATTCCACTTTTCTTGAAAATGACAGCACACCAGGTGCCACAATTTCACAGGATGCTTCAAACTGTCATTCACTAACAGTCAAGTAAGGTATTTCATAATAATTTGGTAGTTTTTTTTTTTGATGTTTGCAAATGTTGTATATTCCCTTTAAACAGCATTTTTTTTTAATTTCCAAATCCCTGACCACTTTCTTTCTAACAACTTCTTGACAATTTCTTGCCGGGTTAGACAAAGACTGAATCTCAGTTCAGTCGTCTTTCTCAATTTGGCATGTCTTTCTTTTAATGGTATAAATCTCTTTCATTCCGTGTCAAGAGACAAACGTTTAGCATATCGTGAGGTATAACTTAGGCCGAGTCATACCTTATGTCTTCTCTGAAATACACAAGAACAGTCTTAAATCAGGGCCTGACTTTTTTGTTTTTGTTTGTTTTTTGTTCAATAATGAGAATGTGTTTTGTTAGTGTGACATTCATTTGGTTTAGGATTTGAAATTTAAGTTTTAGAAAAATCAAAGACTCTTTTGTTTAGCAGTATCTCCATTGTGGTCATGTTCCTAGAGGCCACGGTGAAGCCAAAAATGAGATTCTACACCAGTTTAACGGCACCAGACTAATTTCAACGAATTTTACAGATGTAAGAACCAAATTGTATGATATATTAAGAGATTGTTGTTTTAGTCTAAACACTGAATCAGATGCACATACAATGAATTGATTATGACAGTTTTGCTTGCAACAACTGAAAAAAAGAGAAAAGGAAAACGTGGCAAAATAAATTGCATTTAATTGTTTATAGCACAATCAAAACGACTAAGATTGGGATGCGAACTTACAATAATAATTTTTGTGTACAGAATCACACAAATTAATTGTATGTATAATATTCTATTTACACAAGTAGTAGATGACAGAAAAAAAATATCACCTATATTTTTTTGTATCAGATGGGATATGATTTGTTTTTATTTATCTCGAGAAATTAAAATCTATTAATCAGAATTTGAACTTACTATAGCCTTTCATGTATATTTGGTATCTTGCACATGTCACATAAAAGCTTAGCTTTACTTTCGCTTTTGCGAAATAACTAGCGCGTTTAAGTTTTTGACGTCATTGTTGACACTTTTTGACTCTAGCATTTTTGGTAGCTTACATTCCATTTAGAAAATGTAAATTTGCAGCATTTTTGCGCTTTCGTATCTGATATTGACCAAATAACATGAAAATCAAATATACTTCCAATCATCCGTGCGAATTCAGCCTTTTTGAAATTGCAAATTTATAAATAGTTACGTGAAAAACAATCACACTCCATTGAGATTTTTATTGATTAAACTTTTTCATAAATTTGGCAAAATTGTCTTTATATTTTTGTAATCTTCCAAGTGATAAATCAAGATTAATGATCAATTGAAATTGTATGTGTTATTAATTTTTCACACAAAGGCAACATCAACATTTACAGAAAAGCGTGACAAGTCTAGAACGGAAGTGTTTTGTGCGAAATATTTATTGTGATGTTGTATGTACGATCTTCAATATATTGATATTGCGTAAAATGGGGCTTCAGCTTTTGTTCATGGCTTACACATGCGTAAAATTTGGCTGTTTGCAAACTTGATAAATGTTGTACTTTATTTCAAATCTTCGTTTTCTTGGTAGAAAGAACATAAGGCGAGTAGCTGTTGTAATAATAAATTTCTCGATTTTAGTTTGAATTGCTCAAATTATTATTATTATTATGGGGACAGGTTTTTTGTTACTGATGAGCTGGTCTCATTTCGGGCGTTCTGCAGAACCAAAAACAAAACATAGTTTTGCCTAAAATTATTTATCGTTTTGGTGACGGGTCGTCGAATTTATGCAAAGAAATATCCAAAGAATGAGTTCTACATTAAAACTGGGGATGCAGTTATTTTGTGTGAGCCTAGGTATTATAAATACAGTTTAAGTCATTGCATACAAACTACATGTAAAGTAAATTTTCTTAATACATAAATATTTTTTCATACTTTGCTCTTGCGCTGCTTAGATAACTGTAGATTTCTTTTTGTTAGTTTTATTTTCTCGCCAACTAATAAACGCACTTTGTTATTTTTTTTAAGTCACAATTTTAGCCATAATGCTTTTGTCCTACTCTCGTTGTAACATATGTTCGGAAACAATAAAAGCCATTGTTTAATAGAGAAATTTAACATTTGATATTTTGATTTTTGTTTGATATTTATGTTGATTTTTTGGGGTGTGTCAGCATTTAAGGCAATGTACTGTATTACAGTGTTTATGGAATATCCCCTTGCACAGCAAGGGTCTATAATTATGCGAGCATGCAGATTTGGTGATTAATTATGCAAAACAAGACTGCGTTGACCTCGAGATTCTGACCATTCAGCGGGCGCCTTCTATCGGGTCTTAGGTAACCCGTTGTGATATTACGAAAACATGGCAGCCAAATTGACCAATGAACAGCTTAGTCCACATTACTGATCGAGATGACGTCACGATTTCTAAAGTCGTCTCCGATTGGCTTGTGCGCGGGATCGCATGCAATTTGCATTGCTCACATAATACGTTGGTTACGGCGCGGACAACGGGTGATACTCGGACTAAGGAAAAGTAGTTTATTTTGTTGCCCCGATACAGACTATTTTGGGGTCGTCGACTTTAAGCAATTGAAAAGTAACAAAATGAAATGGTTTTCTTATAATTACGTGATGTACATAATAAAACAAACCGTTTAGTAAACCTAGGCCGTGTCTCGAAGATATGACTGTTTTGCGTCTTGAAACGAGACTATTCCATTGTGTCGACTGAGTGTGTCCCGAGGTTAGAGCTGACTCATTGATCGTAATGGAAGGCGTATCTGAGTCACGCGTTAGTCTCCTCCACCCGTCGTTTTTGGTTAGAATGGCTCTCCGAGGAGTTTCCTTGAATTTCAACCTGAAAGTGATGACCTAAATGGATGTTCATCGACCAAGGTCGGATGGGGGGGGGGGGGACGGGGGAACCCCCCCAAAAGAAAGAAATAGAGCCCATTTTTTTTAAGTGACGTCGCAAAAAAAAGGTATCCACTGCGTACACCACTATCTTTTGCTCGGAAAAAAATTGGTTAAAGCGGTCAGAAATTGCCCCAGAACCCACCACAGAGCATCTAAAATCAAACATTTTTCGAGGCCCTTACGCGGGCTCCGAACCCCACGCCGTAAATTACTTGGACCCACTTTTTGGGGTGAAAATTTATTGTTTGCCCCTCCCCTCCCCCCCCCCTCCCCCCCCCCCCCCCACCACCACCACCACCACCAAACAAATATTGTGTCCGCCTTTGTCGTAGGCAGACATTTACAGACAAAGGCAAAGAAGTCTGACAAATTTTGCACATATTTTGGTCGCCATATAAGTTTTTCTTGTTGTCGGTTTACCTTACAAAGGGGACGAACCCCGCCCCTTTTTTTGTCACACTTCGGCTACGCCCCTCTACATAGATTAGCCACGAAATGTTATGAATGAAAAAAAACCAGGCAGTTTCTTACATGTGCGTTTTAATTTGATCTTTGACAGAAAAGAGTCATCTGTATTTTTAGGCAAAAGTAGCGTGTATGACAGAATGACTTTGAAAGCTAAACAATCACACCCGTCAGGCCTAGCCTGGCTGTCAGACATCCGCAAGAGGTGGCGGCATACGAAGCCATTGTGTGACCGTGCTCCAACGTTGTGTCTCGTATGGCAGCTAGGCCTCCAAACCGGCGACGCGCACACGCCCCTGTTGAAAGGCGATATCACCGCTCCCTAAATCTTATTTTTGGAAGCCAATTTTCATCGTTTTAAAGATATAAAGCAAATGTTTAGGGACGGTCGTTTACTTTTGGAACAATTATTGGACCCAACCAACAATCGAGTTTTATAAGAAGTAGACCTAATATTTCCCGTAAACAAACTAATTCCAATTGAAATTTATCCCAAACAGTTCTTTATAATTATGGTATCCTGTTTAAAAAAATGGAATATAAATATGAAGTAGTTTACAAATCAAATGAATCAGAATAAAAATGCAGTTTTCGACATTTATACTAAAGTTTAGGTCAACTAATCATTCTCGAAATACCCGTTGACCCCCCCCCCCTAAAAGTCATGAAATTGAGATACATCCTGTCTTCATATACTTTGCAGCATTAAACCTTTTTAAATACATTGGTAACATTTAACAACAATCAGAGCAACACTGTTTTCAAAAATAATTTTTCATTCGCAGAACACTTGTATAAAATAAGATTTGTAAAAAGCCAAAAATATACAAGGCTTTGAGATTGAATATAAAATCACATTTACAAAATATTGATAATTGTTCATTCGCAGAACACTATAAAATAAAATTTGTAAAAAGCCAAAAATATACAAGGCTTTGAGATTGAGTATAAAATCACATTTACAAAATATTGATAATTTTGAGTAAAGAAGGTTAATGAAATTCATATTATTATTTGTTTTAGTTTGTATTGTCACTGGTATCCATGCACTCAACTGGTGCCCCAGTCATAACCACCGCTGCTACCAGAGTTACGTCCTTGAAGCATTGCGTAATCCACACCAACAAACGAGGGATGTGATTGGTTGACTGTTTCTGTTTTGGCGGGAAGGTCAAGATCGGCGTACACTAAATCACCAGTAGGCCAATCAGAGGGCGTTGGGGTTGGCAGTGGCGACTTCTGGGGTAGAGGTGGCAACGGCGATCGGGGAAGAGGTGGCAAATTTGGCGGCAGGGGCGCCTGCGCCTTGATGCACCTTAAGGTGTCCGATCGCCTTGTTTTCGGAGTTGTAGGCGCACGCGCCTGGAGCCTGACGGGCAAAGTGTAGGTCTGGCCCGGTGATGAACAGCCGAGAATTTCCACCTTCTCGTAGCTGTGGTGATTCTTCCGGAGTTGCTTCTTCTGCATGGCGAGGTCGCAGGCGGCAAGCACTGCGGCTGCGGCGCCTGGAGGTGCAGGCGCCGGGCCTTTGCGCAATTTATTGGGTTTGGCGTAAATGGGACACTCGTCGACCTTTTTGATGGTGCCTGTGGACAAATCAAGCTTGTCTGGAAAGCATTTCTTTTCGTTAGCGTTGGCCATGCTGAAGTGGCCGCTGGCCTTGATTTTAAGGAGTAAAATGGCGATGGCCACTAGGGCCAGTATGATCCCAACAGTCGCCATAGTGGCCCCGGCCACTACACCCGCAGTGGCAGTATTTCCCTGTGGCTTGAGACCGGTCGGCCCGGTCTTCTTATCATTCTCAGTTGGGACTCGATCATTAATTGGGAAGAGTGCGCCTGGGTTAGCCTCGTTGGCCGCAGACGTGACTGGCTGTAAAGCGATCGAGAGCTTAGCCCGGGCGCGGCCTGTCAAACCAGAGGCGATGGACACCTCGCAGGCGATCACCGCTCCGTCTTCCCAACTTCGAACGTCGGTGATCCTCAGTGTCCTGTTGTTATCTAGCACCTCGTATCTCTGGCCACGATTCTCCGCCCTCGTGACATCGATAGAATTGACAAGCCACCTGTAACGTATGACCTTCGAGATACCGGCGCCTGTGCATGTGTAACTCGCTGAATCTCCTGGATATACAACGTGTAGGTCGGGGTTAATGGATCCCGTCGGGGGTGTATTGAGTACCATCACCTCGCACCTACGGACGGGCAAGGAAGCGGCTTTGGATTGAGCAAAACAGGTGAATACGACCCCGTTGTCCTCGGCCGTGACCAAGCTCTTCAAGGCGTTGCTGTGCGTGGTCACCTCAGATATCGGCTCCCCTTTCCGATGCCAGATCAGAGCAGCCGGAGGAGTTCCCCCGTGTGAATTGCAGGTCAGCTCCGCTATTCTCCCTGGTTGTTGCTGCGTTGGATTGGGTTGGACATGGCACAGCGGGTACCCGGTGTCTGGGGGGACCACTACGGTTAGGATAGCGGACCGGTACTCAGAGCCACACATGCAACGGTATTCTCCTCGGTCGGTGAGTTGGACGCCTATAATCCTCAGGTGATACTCCCCGTTCGCCTCGTGGTCCCCCACCACGGAGTATTTCTCCTGTGCAGGCGTTGTGATCCTACCATTTTTGCTCAGAACCTGGTCGGACTCCAGGTGCATCCATTTCACCGTGTCTCTCTCCCCGCCACCTGCCTGGATGCTGCAGCGCAAGACGGCTGTGTTACCGGCCGCGAGGACAAGATCCTCGGGACTGTCTCGGAACACAACCGCAGCACTCGACAAACTGAACAGGAGAGTTCGTAAAGCTAAGACAACCAGCCCACGCTTTCTACAACTCATGACCGCAGGATTAAACATCCTAAAGACTGCCTTGAAATGTCCTGGGAAAGTTGAAGTGACATAGGGAACAGGTCCTTGATGACGTGAGCTCATTTAAAGACCGTCTATGAATCGGCCGAAGCACCGAGCCCACGCTCTCAAACAGGCACGACAGTGGGACTAAACATCCTAAACTTGCGGTGAAACATTCTGGCAAAGTCAAGGTGACATCGGGAACATCTCTCCGACTACACTAGCACATTTGACGCACCGTTTCGTCATTGTGGTCGAGGTCTCTACAAGTGGAGCATCACCGACTTACTGTGTTAAAGAGAGAGCGAGTCATCAGAACTACTGAGTACACCCTGAACTTGTGACGCGGTATAAAAGCGCAGTACTGTGCGCTGGAACGTACGTTATAACTCGTCACTTCCTTGCTAGAGATCGAGGCAGGGGAATGCTGATCATAATCGGCAGCATAGACTCAAGTTTTGTCTCATACAGCTGAAACTGCTTAGCACGATGACAAATGTTTCAATCCTTCCACCGAGGTCCAGTTTGCCTTAGGAATTTCCGGGGGGGGGGGTTCATGACCATTTCTCTGCATTTGTCAGTCCGCTTAAAATAAAAGTGGACATATTCGTTTCTCTCGGGAAACGTCGCCAGTAAATCTGGGTTACGTTTGCAACTCTCGAACATATGTTTGTAATCAAAATCACAAAAATCCTAATTTCTAAAATGCCACTCACTAAGTGGGCAGGAAATGTTTCGTTAGGTTTGCATACTTTTTCACGTTTTTAGATCTTTGTCTTTGGGCATGATTGAACATTTCGATTATCATCATAAGTTAGCAAAAAAAAGATTAAAGCTCTTTCTGAATATTAAAAAAAAAATTATATGTATTTCGTAGCATCTTTTTTTATTCATGATGTAAGTTTGCCGATTTTGGACGTAGCGCGTCATATTTCGTTCACGACACAGTATAGTGTTAAACCAGAGCACTCATTAAATAGGCGGATCAATGGAGGCCTGTAAGGGGAGATATACCCTAATAAGGTTCACCGACACCACGAAGTAACACCCAAGCCAACTCCAGTGTTACTTCGTAAAAACCGCTGCATGACACATTTTGGTTTCACGAAGTAACACACAAGTGTGCGCGCACATCGGACACTGGCGTGAACGATTTTCGTTTTCTCAAAGTTACAACACTGTTACAGAAATACTATTTGGATAAAAAACGTTTTAAAACGTTTGTCAAGAATGTAATTCTTGATTAAGCGCACAGTGTACATGAGAGTTACTTCGTGATAAACGAAAATCACTCGGTTCTGTAAAATACGCGCGCATAGCGCGCACTCACGCAAACGTGTGTTCACCGTCGATCGTGGACGTCCTATTGTCCCTCTTTTGTTTGTACTTTGACTTTTTAGGAAGACTCCCATAGGTTTTGTACACGACCCCAATCGCGGACGTATGCTGGGAATCGTGGACGATAGTGTTCTCTTTTGTTCTCTGGTATTTTTCGTCCACGGTTTGAAAAGATGAACACGTACACATCCACTCGGGTGTTACTTCGTGGTGTCGTTGACGGTTTGCTGACAAAAGAAGAGAGGGACGCACAGTGCCCTGAAATAACTACAGCTCACTTTGCTCCGTTTCTCAAGCTCACGAAATGTTAGAAATTGCAGCGTGGCCTGAGTCCACGATAAAAGCTTCTCAAATCTGTCTGTCAGAGCTCAGTTCTCTACTTATCCCCTTCGCTAATCCTCCACTAATCCCTTGACCTTGATCTCTTGAGGCCACGGCAATCCTATCTTCTGAAATTAAAAACCTCCTTCCGTTTTCTCCGAGTCCGCACCCTGGGTATTTTATAACTGAAGTGCCCCCTGGCATTTGGGGCTGCCATCCCGCTCCCATTAGCCTCGCATCCCCTTAGCCTTCTGTGTTCCGGACAGTGACTCATAGTTCCGGAATTAAAACACAGAACCCTCAAGTATTTCAGCAAGTTCTGTACGTGGTTTGGGTTCTAATTAGGGGTTGTATGTTGTCGCGTGGGGGCGCTCTTGGTCTTAGATAGGTCGCCGATATTTGTGACCGGATGAGGGCGCTGTGATGAACCCAATTTCTGGCTACAAAAACTGAGAATCCCGTTCATTAAAGCAGTTTAAGACCTTTATTTAAATCAAGATAATGGAGACTGTGAAAACTTTTTTTAATTGTAGCATGTAAATTAAATCGATGATCCTGCATATGGATTGTGATATGTGAGGGCGCTACACAACTACCCTTTGGGGTCGTTGTGTAGCGCCTTCACTTGTTCAAGAAAGAAGCCTATTGGGAACTTTTGAAAAAAGACGATACGAGGGTATTCTAATTGTACTATGGTGTGCACGAAGGTTATGCATAATGCATGTGGATGGTAATACAGTTCGTTTTAATTCTTATGAATATGTATGTATTCATTCACAACTAATGTGGTTCATCATGCATAATGCATGAAGTACTCCAGGATCTAGTCCCAATGTTCCCTTATATGGCAACACCGACGGACGATATGCCTGGTTATAAACGGTAGCTTAGTGGTTGAAAAAAAAATGCTGATGGCTTGAAAAATCGTTGCCAAATAGGTTACTAATGGCAGCCATGTTGGTCGAGTTCCTTGAGTGCTCACGATATTTGAGCAGATGCAACAAAGGAACCAGTCTATTGGAAATGAGTATGTGCAGTATAATTGTTCACTTTTATTAAACGTTTGAATTAAATATAAATAACGGCATCGCAGTTGTCGTATTTTACAAACAGAAATATATTCCATCTAAATTGGCATGGATTGATTTACGTGCAGGAAAAATAAATTAAATACGTTACAAACCGCAGTGAAAACTGCAGTTGTACTTCCTTGTTTTAACCCCGGTAGTATAGTCCGGATCATTTCCGCATTATCTCACTCACTGTTCGTGATTTTTTTGCCAACTCACTTGTTGTCCCTTCCTCTCGATATCACAAAAGGTCAGATTAAAAAGTGCACTAATACCAGCAAAACAATGTCAACGTTAGGTAATGCACGTATCAGATATGTCCGTGTCCGCTTTAAAGGGAATCAACAACAATTGTAAACATCAAAAACAAAACTACCAAATTTTTACGAAATACCTTACTAGGATGTTGGTAATTGACAGTCTAAAGCATCCTGTAAAATTAAGGCACCTGGTGTAAATTCATTTTCAAGAAAAGTGGTATTTTGTTGGAAAAACCTAACTATTTTTCAACTACTGCTCCAAATTTACCTTTTTTCCAGTCCAAATTGTGTTTGCTATTGGTTACATGTTCATGAACGGGTGCAGGCCAGCTAGACTGGTTCCCTTACCTTACAATTTTCCGGCATCTATAAATTGATCCATTTCATCTTTAGTGGAGTCAGGGAACCAGACTACTTGAACATTTTTGTTTTTCTTGGTTTTTCCAGCATTTTCGAACATTAAACTTCAAACATGTCGGTATAACAGTATTTGATCTATTATACTAACCCCTCAAATAACTCATTTCTGAATATTACGGCACAAGCCAATGATGTACATTCCCTTTAAAGGGAATCAACAACAATTGCAAACATCAAAAACAAAACAAAAACAAAAAAGTTATTATGAAATACATAATGGACAGTCAGTGAATGACAGTCTGAAGAATCCTGTAAAATCATGGCACCTGGTGTGCTGACATTAACAAGAAAAGTGGAATTGTTGCATCAATTTCCAACGATAGTCGGCCGACCATCGTTGGAAAACAACTGTTTTTCTTTCAAATATTGCCCCCCCCCCCTTTACCATGTTCAGTTAGTCCGCATTTTGTTTGCAATCGATTACACATCTATGAACAGGTACAAGCAAGCTAGACTGGTTCCCTGACCTTAACAATTCCACGACGTCTATAAATTGTTCTGTTTCATCTAAAGTAAGGTCAGAGAACCAGACTACAAGAACAATGATTGTTTTTTCTTGTTTTTTTTCCAGCATCCACGAACGCAAAACTTCAAACAAGTCAGTGTAACAATATTTGCTTCAAAAAACTAACCCCCACATCCATACATTTTTGAAAATTACAGCAAAAGCAAATGTTGTGTATTCCCTTTAAAAGCAAATGGTGTATATTCCGTTTAACTTAAATGGCTCATTCAGTATTTCCTTTGAAGTTCATCTTTAGCGTCCAATTCGTCTCATTTTTTCAGACTTACAAAATTATCGCTGTTTCTGGAGGTGTTTTGAGGTTTTGTTGATCAAAATTCATGAGCAGAGCAATGATGTTATATGGGGATGCTTCACTGCAACATGTGCAAAGCGAGGCATAATTATTTGTACAAAATACAGTTTAAAATTTATTTTATGGCCCCGGCGAGTTATGCTGTACAAGAATGTTCATATTTATGAAAATTTCTTAGTTTTGGATATAATTATATACATAACAGTATATCTTTATGCAGGTAGGTCCCTATATACAATCTTAAACAAATGTGTTTTTTGAAAGACAAAAAATCAAACTCATATATGATGAATTTGAATTACACTTCGGCTTTTCCTAGTGAAAAACATTTCCAAATACAAAACTTCACACTTGTATTTCCTTGGGCTAAAAACCAGAAATTATACCACCCACCCCCCCCCCCAAAAAAGGCACGATGGTGACGTTTTTTATAAGCTTGAGGTGAGGACCTGTTCAGAGACTTTACAACACCAATACAGAATTTCACATCTTGGTAAATTAATATAAAAGAAAATAAGAGGTTTTAAAGAGTTTTAGTTCCGTGCATTCATAAAAACTGTGCAGGTTTAAAGCCGGTGTCATATGAAAATCGGACTCGCATGAAAATCGAACTCTTTTTCCCTTTTATTGGTTAAACCCTCTCACGTGACCGGTCCCTCTCCTAATTATCTATGCATGAGCATGCGCAATACCACCAAAGAGTCCGTATTTCATAAAACCTATTAGGTTTTTCATGCTACACCTGTCCATACTCGAACGCAAACGTAAATTTGTGATTTTTTCGCACAGCGATGCTTCGTGACGTCAAATTCGCATCGCATTCGCATGAACTATAAAGTGTGAACCGGCCTTTGCCCTACAGGCTACCAACCTGTTTAAGGCTAAAAAATAAGTTAAAAATTGCATTTTGTGTGTGTGTGTTTATTATTCGATAATTTCTAAGTAAACAGGGTTTTCTACTACCATTGGTGGTCTTTTCGAGTGGTTATTTGAGTAGGGTATCTCATAATCCCAGCACATGTCACTGTCGCCTTGCTCTAAAGTTGGTGCCGACGGGAGAACGCCGTGCTCCACTGTCTCGTAATCGCTACAACTCACATTCGGTTTCCGTAGTATCGTGTAACCGTCCTCCGATACCTGCACGCCGTTCTGGGCTCTCAGCTGTTGTTTCATGGGCAGGCCCGCTGCTGGAGTCGATTCCGGTTGGTTCCGATTCTGCCGTTTCGCTTTTCGCTTTCGGCGTCTCTTGATGATGTAGACGATGAGGATGATGGCTAAGGCGCCTACAGCGAGGCCGGCCACCGCGCTGACTATGATGAGCTCCATCGACATGTGAGTCGTGTCGTCTGTCCCCGGTAGGTTTGTCACCTCATCACCTGGTGACACCGTCGATGACACCCGCGACGATGACAATGGCACTGATGATGTCCACGTTGTTGCCGGCTGAGCTGTGGTCGTGTCAGCATCGGAGGTCTCTTGTACCCCAAGGACGTCAATCGCTGCTTCGGCCCGACCTAGTACCCCACCTTGGAAGTTCAGCTCACAAGCCAACACAGCACCTTCGTCCGATTTCTTAATCCGTCCCATCGTCAAGCTCTTCGTATCAGACGAAATTTCAAACCGTCCCCTGCCGTTGACGAGGATCTCGTTCCCGTTTAGGAACCACGTGTAGCTGCTATCGGGTGGCGCGTCATCGTCTGCCGCGCAGGTAAACGTCGTACCGCCTTCTACTGGTAGCGATACCGAATCGGGCATGATTCGAACTCGGGGAGGTGTGGCTGCGGGGATTAAGGTACAGGACCGCGGCTCATCCCAGGCGAGGCTGTCCGCATAACAAGTGAACTCCTGCCCAATATCTGCCGGCTGGATGACCCGATCGATGGAGACCCTTCCCGGGGCGTCTTGAATCAAGACTGTCCTTCCCCGCTTCCATCCGAGGGAAGCTGGCGGGATGCCTTCCGTAGACGTGCACTCAAGACGGACAGCGTCTCCAACTTTGAAGAAACCCGGAACCGAAGACGAGGCATCATCCACGGGCATCATTTGGCAAATAGGCGAAGTGATATCAGGGGGAACCACTACCTGAAGCTCAACGGATGCCGGGGCGACATTGCTACCTCCCTGTTGGTATCCACACCTGTACTCCCCCGAGTCTCTTCGATTCGCGCTGGTAATCTCCAAGGTGTACTCTCCTCTTCGACGGTTACCAGTGATCCTATACTCCCCGGTGGCTGGTCTGGCCCCGGCCTCTATGTCCGCATCCCGGCTGATCGGCACGAACTCACCGTCCACGACGCGGTACCACCGGAGTTTCTCTTTGGGCGATTTGCCTTCCACTGTGCACCCCAACATGGCCGTCTGCCCTTCTCTTACAGCCAGTTCTGGAGAGTTTGTGACGATAGAAATCCCCTTAACTCCCACACTGCAGACGATCAGAAACAACAGAACCAAAGCACCGCAGATGGACTTGTAGAAAGCATCCATACTGCTTGGGTCATCAATCAATGGAATTCAGGAATACAAAAATCATTCAAAATGTTGGAAAGATAAGCCGACTGTCCTCGACACGTGTGGTGCTAAAAGTGCTTTGTTTTAGTGCTGTGCGTGTTGTTTAATAAGACAACATCCTTTTTTTACTTCGGGAACTTGTGTCATTGCGTGGTTTTCCGGTATCCGAAGGCTGGTAGCTGTGACGTCACCGTCACGTGGTATCTACAGCTACATGCGGTTACTGGGAGCCTGTTGGGTTGGTATGGCAACACCGTGGCGCCCCGGCCGGACAGGGCAAGCCTTGTAAAGCTGGACACAGAGAGCACACATTATATTCAGTGGGAGACGTTTGAGACGTTGGTGGCAGCAAAAACACGGTCCCTTTTGCATTGTTTAATTTGCGTCATATTGAGCATGCGCGGTTGAGCTTAAACATGACGTAAACAATTGAAAAGGACCGGTGTGTTTGCTGCCACCAACGTCTCAAAAGTCTCCCATTGACCGGCAGATTGGTTATTCAGTTTTCACATAGGTAGTCTGTTCATGCATCTAGTCCACAAAGTGGGACGGATTCAGCCCATTCATTGGCATTATGGGGTAATCCTATAAAATAGCACTGCCCGGTTTACAAGTAACATTCAGTCAGTCAGTCAGGCAGTGAGATAGGTAAAAAGGACACTATATAAGCTTGTCACTGGGACCAAATAATACTGGTTTTTAAAAGGTTTCCATGTGGATTGTTTTATTTACATGTACCTTTAAGATTCTATTTATTTCATAATACCCTTGTTTAGTTGTTTGTTTTTGTAGTGGGAAGTTGAAATGCTGAGTACCTGTTCCGTATTCCCCTCGGCCTTCCACACATCCTGCGCGCTAATAGCGCGATGTTAACTCAACCACAAAACAGCCGTCGTGCGCGTGTGTTGTGCTTTTCAAAGCACATGCGTCACTTTGAACCAATAATAAGAGGCCTTTCATAAAAACCGCTTGCCCATATATGGTCATTTGGCTTCCTGCTGAGGTGTGCAGACAGGGGGCGGGTTTTTGAAATACGATTGTGGGCGCTATTGTGACACGGACCTATAAATCCACAAATATGAATTTATGATTCGGAAATTTTAAAGAGACAGGACAGAAATTTCAATTTCACTCACAATTTGAAGACTACTTTGTAATAATTACAAAGAAAAGGGGTGAAGTTGTCAAAAATAATCTGCAGACACATCGTGAACCAGTTCAAGCTGTATCCCCCATAGAGCCCGCCCCAAACGGGCCAGGGCGCTGTGGTCCAATGGTTACGGTGTTCGACTCGTGTGCCGTGGTACATGGGTTCGAATCCTGACCGTGGGAACATGGTGCTTGTGCTCTTGAGCAAGGCACTTTACCATTATTGTTTCGTCCTTCGGATTGGACGGAAAGCCGTAGGTCCCGTATGTTGTGTAATGTATTTTAAATAACCCAGTAACTCTTATCGCTAAGAAAGGGGTTTGCCCTGGTGTTTCTGGCAGTGGCTGCAATATGCGCCGCAGCACCTTGTAAACCCTTTATAAAGGTGCTGCATAATGGGTCTCATATTTCTCATCAACTTCATTTACCTGTCTTTAGAAATAGACATAATTACCAGCGCCTCGAGTACCTAATTATGGTGGATACGTGGTCTATATAAGACTCCGGTATTATTATTATTGAATGTGATTAAATGTTAAATTAATTTTCAGATCCAAAATTTAAATGATCTATTTCATGTGACCTTGCATTATTTTGTTGCTTGAAATTTCGTTGAGATTTTATTTTACCAAATAAGTCAAATGATTGTTAAATTGTAACATCATAGATTATTCATATTCTGACCTGTACTTAAACCAAAATACCCAGAAACGTCAAATTCTGTCCCCAAATTTCCCCACAAGTATTTGGCTTCCGGCCCTGTCGGAAATAGATGACAATTAGTACCACTACATTGACGTAGTTCTGATTGACGGATTTACTACAAGTATGGTTAGCCGCAGTTATTACAAGTTCGTTGTGTTTGCGTAGTCATGTTACATCGGTGTGTCAACCGTCATGTTTCATTGTCATTGAAAATACATGGGCGGTGTTGGGGCAATATTGACCACACGGCCACATAGTCTATTGTACTGTCAAGGTACACACGGTGTACAAACATTGAGTAGGCCTGCAAAAATATTGCTTTGATTGTTTTGTCATGCATGTTGAATCAACAAAACGGAGTAACGTAATTGATTTCAAACATGATTTCTCGATCAAGATTATTTGCAAAGCAAAGTGATAGTGCGTGCACTTTAAAAAATAAAGGCAAGTTTGTTATTATCAACAATTTTGTAACAAAAATTCCTTGGAACATATTTCCCCAGAACTGACAAGCAGGTCATACGTGATTTGAAAACATTTACAACAATCATTTATGTTGTGTTTTCCCAACAAATGTAGACATAAGCAGCGAACGTCGACCTCGGCCTCATTTTGGCAAGGTCAGATTTTTGACGGGTGGGAACGCATCAAAGTAATTGAATCTATATCGGTATCACTGGACTCAGATTGTGCGTTTTTATTGGACAACACTATTACGTGTTAAAAAGTTGGCTACAATTGATTAAAGTCTTAAACAGGTTCCCAGTCCCTCCATCTTCGATTCTGACTTGGATAGTGAGCGGGAACCAGTCTATTAATTGTCGTCTACTATTGCAGGCCGACATTTTAACAACATGCAGTATATAAGCTTTTTGTATCTTTATTATGTCCTCATAATCATCCGGTCTCTGATATGCTTTAGAAAATTTTATTTAAATAAGGATAAGTAGAATCCAGAAAATGTACTTTTCAAAACATAAAAAACATAAAAAATATACCCAAATATGGGAACAAATATATTACACGGCATGTATTAAAGATTTAGGCAAATTAGGCACCCTTCCCAAAAGAATTTCAGATGCCACCCCTTCTAAATAACTTCTCAAGGGCTATAAGAATCTATCTGCCAAGTTTGGTGCTTTGGACCAGGCGGTCACGATTCCGACCATTAGGCTATGCCACCTGACTACCAGGCGTCTAAGAATCATCAGAAATAGTCAGAATCTTTTAGTCAGGGAACCATCTCCATATATCTCTGTATATATGGAGATCAATGGCAGTTAATAATTCTGTATATAAAGTGCGCGTGTTGCGTGCAAAGGAATGTCAAAAAGTTCCGGGTTTTGTTGTTGCGGTTTTCACACATATTGAGTGGTCATTATTGTCTCCAATGTTATCAATTCAAATCCGTTCCGCAGAATACGCAGGCGAGCGCCGACAAATATAGACTTCAAGGACATTTGGTGGTGGTATTATGATCTGAATTCCTTGTCCACTTTAGTGGCTAACCTTTTCACAACTTGAGAGCTAGTCCAAGCTATTGTGGGTTTTGATCTTGGACGAGGATTTAATGGATTATAGGCGGATGGATAAACACACGAAGTTAGCGTTTATTGTCAGATCACTTAAAACATTATCGCGCCTCATCAGAGACAGAGAATATTAAGCTCCCAAAATGGGATTTGAAGGTAGATTTTAAAGGCTAGTTTTGATGTATCGTTTTCCCATGGCAAACTGTCAAGGTGAACTTTTGAATAGTTTTATTTGGAAGCATACTTGCGGAATTTTGTGTTTATAAAAAAAAAGGATTTGCATTATGAACATTTGGCTTACTAGCGCGACAAAACTGAAGGTTGTAACTTGCGAACAAAGATGCCATGGTGGTGAAAATATGTTTTGGAGTAATTACAGGTGTAGTGTGTAACTTTGCTCTCTGTGAAATACGGAGTCATTGGCTGTACTGCGCATGCTTCGGTAGACGTAATTAGAGTAGTGACAGGTCATGTGTGCCTTATAGTCCACGAGACTAGATTTCGCAGGAGTCTAACTTTCATACGACACCGGACTAGATTTCTCTTCGAAGTATATCGGCCCAAACAAGGGCCGGGTGGGGTTCAGCTTTTCCACTGTGAAAAATGGTGAGGCAGAATATCATGCATGTCATTCAAAAAATAGGGATAGGCGAAGTGTCTTTTCCTTAAACTAGTATTACATGTATTGATAACACAACATGCGATTAAAGTTTACTTTACAATTTCGGGGGACGATAAGATAATGTTATCGATTCTTTTCATTCGATCCGTTTGTGGTTTGAGGTTTGATTCGAGAATCGGTTATTGATTTATCGATTATCTGGTTTTTCTCCACATACCAAATCACAAGGTCTCGCTCGCAGGAGCGCGTCCGGATCGCATACTTGGAATAGTTAATAAAAATACAATTGTTGAGGGCGCCATCTCAACAAAGGGGAAAATACCGATGTGTGACGAACATCCCGAGTGCAAGGTTGCACATGCCGGAGCGTCCTAGGCCGAGGTACTACACACGGGTTGCATAAGTTCATAGGCTTCCGTTTCCGACATCACTCAGTGTTCGAATACTGAGTTGGCTTCGCTTGAAAAGGCTGGAGCGTTTACCACGTACGCTCAGCTGTTGTTTATTAAAAACTGGAACACGGATCGCGGTTTTTGAGACAAACAAGAGCTCATTATTGAGAAATCATAATGATGCAATTGTTAACTTCCGTTCACAGATGTGTAACCGATTACAAGCAAAATGTGTACCAACTCAATTTGGTAAATTGGGGCAGTTTTCGAGAAAAAAAGCGATTATTTTTTCCAACGATGCAAATATTCCAACTTTCTTGAAAATGTCAGCACACCAAGTGCCATGATTTTACAGGATGTTTTTCACTGTCATTCACTATCAGTCCAGTAAGGTATTTCACACTAATTTGGTTGAGTGCATATACATGTAATTAAGAACAAAATATGAGCTTGCATGTGAATAGTGTGGAACTATTATTATCCTGGGTTAACAAGGAATAGCTTTTTGTCTGTTATCAATCCCAAAATTAGGATCCATTACTGATTACACAAGTTTCGCTTTCAAAAGAAGAAAAAAACCCAGCTTCACTTAATATGATTCTGTTTATCCATCCACCAATCTCTGTGCATGGAACACCAGGATCGAACTAAAAGCCATCACCCCTTGCCAGCACAGAGCTCCAGGATCGGGAAAAACTAGCTGCTATTTGCATCTTTTTTTCTTTCTTCAAAAATTCGGAAAAGTAGTCTGTTTTGAAAAATTATGAAATTAAAAGAAAAGTGCATATGCATGATTTCAACAGTAATCAGTAAATGGATTGGACTGGACTAAATAATAAACAACATTTTCCTGGGCATCGCTGTGGAAGATTTGGAAAACCA